GTTGGCCCTTGAAAAATATTCTTTAATAAATCCACGCCTCAGTTGGCCCTTGAAAAATATTCTTTAATAAATCCACGCCTCAGTTGGCCCTTGAAAAATATTCTTTAATAAATCCACGCCTCAGTTGGCCCTTGAAAAATATTCTTTAATAAATCCACGCCTCAGTTGGCCCTTGAAAAATATTCTTTAATAAATCCACGCCTCAGTTGCCCCTTGAAAAATATTCTTTAATAAATCCACGCCTCAGTTGGCCCTCTCAGTTGGCCCTTGAAAAATATTCTTTAATAAATCCACGCCTCAGTTGGCCCTTGAAAAATATTCTTTAATAAATCCACGCCTCAGTTGGCCCTTGAAAAATATTCTTTAATAAATCCACGCCTCAGTTGGCCCTTGAAAAATATTCTTTAATAAATCCACGCCTCAGTTGGCCCTTGAAAAATATTCTTTAATAAATCCACGCCTCAGTTGGCCCTTGAAAAATATTCTTTAATAAATCCACGCCTTTGGCCCTTGAAAAATTTTTTTAATAAATCCACGCCTAGTTGGCCCTTGAAAAATATTCTTTAATAAATCCACGCCTCAGTTGGCCCTTGAAAATTATTCTTTAATAAATCCACGCCTCAGTTGGCCCCTTGAAAAATATTCTTTAATAAATCCACGCCTCAGTTGGCCCTTGAAAAATATTCTTTAATAAATCCACGCCTCAGTTGGCCCTTGAAAAATTTTTTTAATAAATCCACGCCTTTGGCCCTTGAAAATTATTCTTTAATAAATCCACGCCTAGTTGGCCCTTGAAAATTATTCTTTAATAAATCCACGCCTCAGTTGGCCCTTGAAAAATTATTTTTAATAAATCCACGCCTCAGTTGGCCCTTGAAAAATATTCTTTAATAAATCCACGCCTTGAAAAAATTAATTTTAATAAATCCACGCCTAGTTCTAGCCCTTGAAAAATTAATTTTAATAAATCCACGCCTAGTTCTAGCCCTTGAAAAATTAATTTTAATAAATCCACGCCTAGTTCTAGCCCTTGAAAAATTAATTTTAATAAATCGATTTTAATAAATCCACGCCTAGTTCTAGCCCTTGAAAAATTTAATTTTAATAAATCCACGCCTAGATCTAGCCCTTGAAAAATTAATTTTAATAAATCCACGCCTAGTTCTAGCCCTTGAAAAATTAATTTTAATAAATCCACGCCTAGTTCTAGCCCTTGAAAAATTAATTTTAATAAATCCACGCCTAGTTCTAGCCCTTGAAAAATTAATTTTAATAAATCCACGCCTAGTTCTAGCCCTTGAAAAATTAATTTTAATAAATCCACGCCTAGTTCTAGCCCTTGAAAAATTAATTTTAATAAATCCACGCCTAGTTCTGGCCCTTGAAAAATTAATTTTAATAAATCCACGCCTAGTTCTAGCCCTTGAAAAATTAATTTTAATAAATCCACGCCTAGTTCTAGCCCTTGAAAAATTAATTTTAATAAATCCACGCCTAGTTCTAGCCCTTGAAAAATTAATTTTAATAAATCCACGCCTAGTTCTAGCCCTTGAAAAATTAATTTTAATAAATCCACGCCTAGTTCTAGCCCTTGAAAAATTAATTTTAATAAATCCACGCCTAGTTCTAGCCCTTGAAAAATTAATTTTAATAAATCCACGCCTAGTTCTAGCCCTTGAAAAATTAATTTTAATAAATCCACGCCTAGTTCTAGCCCTTGAAAAATTTAATTTTAATAAATCCACGCCTAGTTCTAGCCCTTGAAAAATTTAATTTAATAAATCCACGCCTAGTTCTAGCCCTTGAAAAATTAATTTTAATAAATCCACGCCTAGTTCTAGCCCTTGAAAAATTAATTTTAATAAATCCACGCCTAGTTCTAGCCCTTGAAAAATTAATTTTAATAAACCCACGCCTAGTTCTAGCCCTTGAAAAATTAATTTTAATAAATCCACGCCTAGTTCTAGCCCTTGACAAATTAATTTTAATAAATCCACGCCTAGTTCTAGCCCTTGAAAAATTAATTGTTGGAGTTAGTTATTGAATCTCCACGATACGATCGTACAAGACACATGATGAGTAATTGTGACATGATCGCAGTGTGCGAAGCACACTAGTTGTAAATATAGTTGTTGTGGTATTAAGATTTCATACCAAGATCACCCAAGTAGTAATCGAAATCGAAAAACAGTTTTTTTCCTCAAAAATTTTGACCTTGCATACGTTTTCATAATGGACGTCAATTCACAATAATGCATTTTGACAGCAAACTTGACCTTATTTATAGGCCATAGGTGACCTAATTTATAGGCCATGTTTCATGCGAAGTGTGTAAGAAGTTGTCCATGGTATAATAATAAAAGGTAACAGCAAGTGTTGTTGTACAAAAAACGATACAACAACCACATGGAAATTTGTTGTTGTAAGTTCTACTAGTGTCAACTCATTTGACAGAAAAATGTAAACAAACAAACAAATTATCATCAAATTATTTTTATTTTGAAAATGGAATATTTTCGAATCCTCATGAATGAAAATCTATCAAATTTATATTTCTATCGCTTCCACATCTTTCCTTTAATTGAGCCATTGCCATATATGTGTGTAACACATATGACAATGCTGGGAATAGCGAGTAATTCCTTCAAGAAAGATTTGCTTCCTCAAACTTTCCCAGCAGGCAGATTGAGTAAATTGAATACGGGAGCACATCAATAAAGAACAATTTCAAATTGTATGCGTTCCCAATTTTCCTGTTGGGTGATTTTTAAAAACATAATTTGCCAAATTCATATTGACACTAGTATTACGTTGGAATCAAATCAGCTGGGATTTGCTGTTACCTTTTATAATTGTACCATGGAAGTTGTCACTCGTAATCAAGTTCTCAACAAGCAAACAAGTCTTTTCGTTATTGAAGCTTCAAACGCACCAAAAAGTTAATCGTACAATAGTTCTTTACTTACTTACTTAGCTGGCTTGTGACAGAACTTTCGTTCCATAAGCCGAGCTTAGAAAAGATCTCCAGGCGCGCAGTTTTTCCAATTTGAAAGACCATTTTCGGCGATGTTGTCTTCGACTTGATCTTTCCAACGTATTCTTGGCCTTCCCCTTCTGCGTGAACCATCAGCTGGTTCGCTCTTATATGCCTTCTGGGCTGGGACATCTTCATCCATTCTCACAACATGACCTAGCCAACGTAGTCGCTGCAGCTCAATACGTCTAACAATGTCTATGTCCGAGAATAGCCGGTACGGAGATATTCACCGTCAACGCAGATCGGCCCATAGATCTTTCGGAGAATTTTTCTCTCAAACACTCCAAGAGCTGTCTCATCTGCTTGCGCAAGTACCCATGCTTCAGATCCATATAACAGCATGGGTAGTATCAGCGTCTTGTAGGTGTGAGTTTGGTCTGGCGGGAGGTGGCCTAGCTTTTGAGTTGTTTGCTCAGACCATAGTAGCAATTTCAAAACTGATGTAATTCGTTTTATTTATGGCGGTACCAAGGTATATAAAATCTTAAACTACCTCAAAGCTGAAGTTCTCAAGTTCCACAGTTGGTCCGAGTCTAGTGAACGTCTTGCGCGTTGATACCATCAGCTTGGTCTTCTCGCCGTTTACTGTCAGACCCACTTTGGCAGACTCCTTCTCAATTTGTTCAAAGGTGGCTGTTACCGCTCTCAATGTTCGACACATTATGTCGACCCATGTGTTGTTTGGTGTACAGAGTGCCATTTCTGTTCACGTTTGCCTCTCATATGATCCAGCAGGATGTTAAAAAGGTCACACGACAAACTATCATCTCGTCTGAATCCTCGTTCGGTATTAAAGGGCTCCGAGAGTTCCTTTCCGACTTTAACTGCTGATCTTGTGCTTGTTAAAGTTATCCTGCATAGCCGAATTAATTTTGCAGGAATGACAAACGCAGACATGACTTTATACACCTCTGAACGGATAGGGCTGTCAAATGCGGCTTTATACTGGTGGATTTGACAGGTCTGAAGCCACATTGGTATGGTCAAATAATGCCATTGACCATTGATTTCAGTTGTTCACACAGTACGGTGGAGGATTTGCCAGGTCTGAAGCCACATTGGTATGGGCAAATAATGTCATTGACCACACAGCACGCTGGATAGCACTTTATATGCGATGGGAAGGAGACTTATTCCTCAATAGTTGGCAAATATCGTATTGTCTCCTTTTTTGTGCACGGGACACAGGATGCTGAGGTTCCAATCATTGAGCATGCATTGTTCTAGCCAAATTGTATTAATCAGCTGGTGCATGCTCCTTACCAGCATCTGACCACCAGTATTGAATAGTTCGGCTTGTAACCCACCGGGGCCTGCTGCTTTATTATTCTTCAGCCGATTGATTGCTATTCTGACTTCATCTTGGTTAGGTGGTAAACACTCTATACCGTCATCTATTATTGGTTCTGGGGTATCCACTTCACTGCTACTATTTGATAGTTACAAAAGTTCTAGTCCCTGAAAAAATAATTTTAATAAATCCACGTCTTGTTCTAGTCCCTAAAAAAATAATTTTAATAAATCCACGCCTTGTTCTAGTCCCTGAAAAAATAATTTTAATAAATCCACGTCTTGTTCTAGTCCCTAAAAAAATAATTTTAATAAATCCACGTCTTGTTCTAGTCCCTGAAAAAATAATTTTAATAAATCCACGCCTTGTTCTAGTCCCTGAAAAAATAATTTTAATAAATCCACGCCTTGTTCTAGTCCCTGAAAAAATAATTTTAATAAATCCACGCCTTGTTCTAGTCCCTGTAAAAATAATTTTAATAAATCCACGCCTTGTTCTAGTACCTGAAAAAAATATTGATAATAAATCCAAGCCTTTTTAGTCCTAGAACAAATTATTTTTAATAAATCCACACTTATTAGTCCTAGAAAAGAATATTTGTAATAAACCCATGCCTTGTTAGCAATTTTTTATTTTACCTTAAAAATTTAAATTTCTTCTCTTCCATTGCAGGGTGGTCAGCATGGGCGGATGTTCATTGGCCCTGACATTGGTCCTATATCTAACCGAAACATTATACTTTCAATCGTGTACATTAAATTTCTATGTCATATTTCCATGTGTCTTAAATTGTAAGTATTTAAAAAAATAATTAACAAAAAAAATTAAATTATTTTAATAAAATTTAAATTTATTTTCCCCATTCTAGCCATAACCCTTTTAGCTCTGATGTATATACCCAAACGTTTACGTTTATGGGAGCCAAGTTTGGATTTGGATGATGAAAATACACAATTATTGAAACAGATGACTGGATTCAAGCGGAGGCGTGCCAAGAAAAATCAATAGAATCATTTGACCTAAGAGAAGAAGAAGACGAATTTTGACGAATTTTTTTTTCATATACGAATTTTCTATTAGCTTTTCTCAAAGAGTATGCACGTCTATTTGTGTGTGGTCTTTATAGGGAGGAGAAATATCGAAGCTGAAGTGAGAGGTTTATTTTTATGGCAAAACACACCAGGCTTTGTGACATGTACAGATCGAGATGATAAACAATTTTGTGGGAAACACATAGGAATGAGAAAAACGTGGATCCAGACACAAACGAAAAAATTAATTTTTTTCCTCGCCACCTCTCTTTCGAAACCTCCAATAATTTTTATAAGAAACTGACGAATGTGGGTGACCATTCAGTTAAGTTGTGCATTTGAATTGTAATCAATTTAGGTGCCCACACCATTTCCATTAGAACTTGGAAATGCTATACATTTAAGTTAATCATAATCACACAGCTAGAAATAGTCTTGACCATGACCTTCCGACCAAAGTTTTGATTTGACCACTTTTGCATATGAATACATGTGCTATGGTGTATTTTTAATCGAAAACGGTTAAAGCGAAAATCACATATAACAACAATTTTAAACACAGATCATTTTCATATTTTTCGTCGAATTAAAAAAAATTCCCATAAAATATACGTAAACAAATATCAGCTGACTGACAACATTAAATCATTTTAATACTAGTCTAAACAGTTACGATTTAGTTTCTGCTTTTACAAATCGAGTGGGTTTAGAAGGCATATTCTAAACTTGTTTTTATGTGCCTGGTGAGGATGGTATAAATGCATAGCATATAGAAGAATGACTAAGAATGGCTCCCAAATTAAAAATTTATTCTGATATGCAACATAAAGAGGCATGCCTAAAATACTCGAATGTGTTTCCCCCCTTAAAAGGCAAGGCATAATTTTTGAGCTGCGAATTTTTTTTTTCGTGGTGGTACTTCAAACGGGTACAAAAAATTAGGAACTAATGACCACCTGCTATGAAATTTTAAATACGAATTAAAGATAAAATGTACTGCTAGCAGTCCATTAACATTTTTTCTTGGAACTTCTATAGAATTGTCTCCATCATCCGATTTCATCCCCGCTGCACCTTTCTTAATGAAAGGAATGGTAATTGAACAGATTTCGAAGAGTTCACTAATCATCAATTCCAAAAAAAAAACCCGTTTCATACCTTCTAATTTTAGGCGGTATGGAACGTATCATCTCCCAATAATCATCTTCGTCAGCATACTCCCGGATGTTAAGTGTACATTTTTCATTGAAGAAGTAATGTCAAGTGAGCAGGCTATGGAGAGTTCACCAACAATCAATTCCGAGAGCTTGCCTTTCACAAGCATTTCCATCGCGTCTACTGATCGGATAGCACCGCTACGTATCAGATAGAATACCCAAAGTGAGACATACTTTCCCATCAAATGCATCCAGACTACCAAATAATGTGCTTATGGATTAAACTGGTCTCGATTATGTACAGTAGATATCGGATATAAGCACATCTCATATAAGAAAAAATCGCATATAAGAAATATTATCAAAAGCACCGAACTTTTACTTTCTTATATCCGATAATTCCATATAAGAAAAAAACGCATATAAGAAAGAAATCTCCGACTTTTTTTGAGTTTCTTATATGCGATATCTACTGTAGCAATAATGGAGGACCCGAAAAGATACATCAACTATTTCAACAGTTTTTCCAGCAATGGGTGCTGTTACAAGTCTAACGTCGTGACCGGATAATAATGCTGAAAAGTCTTAATTACTTAGCCGGCTTGTGGCAGAACTTTCGTTCCATAAGCCGAACTTAAAAAAGTTTACCAGGCGAGTCGGTCTTTTGTGCAGTTTTTCCAATTTGAAAATCCATGTTCGGCAATGTTGTCTTACATTTGATCTTTCCATCTAATTATTTCCCTTCCCCTTCTGTGTGAACCATCAGCTGGTTCGCTTTTATATGCCTTTGAGCTGGGGCATATTCATCCATTCTCACAACACGACATAGCCAATGTAGTCGCTGCAGCTCGATCTGTCTGACTACGTCGATGTGCGAGAATAAATGGTATAGCTCATGGTACATTCGACGACGATATTCACCGTTGACGCAAATCGGCCCATAGATTTTCCGGAGAATTTTTCTCTCAAACACTCCAAGAGCTGCCTCATTTGCTTGCGCAACTACCCATGCTTCAGATCCATATAATAGAACGGCTAATAACAGCGTCTTGTAGAGTGTGATTCTGGTCTGGCGAGAGGTTGCCTTGTTTTTGAATTCCTTACTCAGACCATAGTAGAATTCCTTACTCAGACCATAGTTGGCCAGCACAATCCTTCTCGAAATTTCAAAACTGATGTCATTAGTTTTGTTTATGGCGGTACCGAGGTATATAAAATCATTTACTACCTCGAAGCTGTAGTTTTAAATTTCCACAGTTGGTGCGAGTCTACTGGACGTCTTGCGCGTTGATACCTTCACCTTGGTCAGGATGTTAAACTGGTCACACGACAAACTCTCACCTTGTCAGAATCCTCGTTCGGTGTTGAAGGACACCGAGAGGTCCCACTTGCAGAACAGAACATTGTGGTTGTTGGCGCATGTTTTCCTCAGATGTTTACCCTCTCACATATGCCATCATGGATCGCCATGATCGCACAAACATCCGCATACATTACGATATCTTCACCGTCCGGTGGTTGTGTAATTACACAAAGGTAGTGGTAGAATGAAGATATGTCCCCATCTTGGGAAAGTCACTGTTCCATTCTTCCTGTCTTCGATTTCTTATTTACCAGTTTCATATATGACTGTCGACCAAACATAGGAGATTCTTCTCTATGCCTTCGAACAGCTTTGCATATGATTGAAGCACACTCCTTGTTACCCTCCGGATGCTCAATAACTCGTACATCTCTTAGAATTTGACAGTCGTTCTATCATCATTACTTCCAATATTCAAGAGTATCTTAATCCATTGCCTCGTCTCCAAAGTTGAAACGCTTCAGGTGGTTTAGCCATATTTTTGCGCATATGCTCGTAAACTAGTCTGTTGAATCAAGGGTGAACCCATTCGCAGTTGTTGTTGTAGCAGCTTGTACTGATGTGTATATCTCCTTAATCTGTTTCTGCTTCGAACTCCAAGTTCAAAAAGGCTGCGTTCTTTATTGGTTGTGTCCACAGTGAATATGGGGTTAGATGAGAGGGTTTGGCTGAGCAAAATTGACCGTGCCGCCAATGCGTGGCCAATAAGAATTGAGGTGGCTCCACCGTCCAGATCTCAGTTGTGCCAAGACGACTCAGGTTTGTCGGTGTAGCTGCTGCTCTTCTGCAGCTGGCCTGTTGATCTAGAAGCTCCCTTTGGTACTTTTGGACCTCTCTCTCCAAATCATGAATATCCTTTCTGACATGCCTAGCTGGTGGGTTAGGTAATGATTTGGATGGCCACTTGTATAACACCCAAGCAGGTATTGCATCGACAACACCTTATTGTGTTGATGCACACGGAAGGATCTTCGTCTCCTTACGTAAGTGGTCCATTGGAGTCATGAGGAGGCACCCTGTTGCAGTCCTCAGGGATGCATTCTGGCAGGATTGAAGACTTTCCATTGCGTTGCACAAACGTTAGCCGGCCACACTAGTGCCGCATAGTTTACCACAGACCGGCATATTGCTATGCATGTCGTTAACAAGGTTTCTTTGTCAGCTTCCCAAGTACTGCCGGCTAGCGACTTGAGAACCTTTTTTCTGCTAGGGATCTTATTGCAAATAGCTGTGGCATAAGCGGACGACTTATAGGGGCTATCGAATGTGACCCCTAGAACCTTGGGGTAGTTGGTGGTCGGAATTGTGGACCCATCGAACTGCACATTGGATGTTAGCCGCATCTCCACTGTCCATGTGGTAAACAGTGTGGCCATTGATTTAGTGGTGGATATTTCCATATTTCTCGCCCAGAAAAAGTCAGCTATATCCACGAGATTGTGGTCCAGCCTCTCGCAAATGTCATCAATTTTGGGTCCTGACGCCATGATCATACTATCAATCGCGAATGTTACGAACTTGATTGCCGTCCGGTGGGTGTGGAATTCTAGAATGGTAGAGGTTAAACAGTTCCGGAGATATCACCCCACCTTGGGGAGCTCCCTGTTTAACTCTACGGGTCTTCCACTTCATGTTTATGAATTGCATGTACGACTGGCGTCCACTCATATAATTCGCGATCCAACTGGTTGTTCTGGATGAGTCCTACGTTATATGTGTGGAAATGCTTTCGGGTCTTCTGACGTTGTACGACGAAACTCATCAAGATAATTCGCAAGTACCGTCACCTTTGCTGGGAAATTATGTCTCACTTCGTGTATTCGTCCACCAGTTAAATGGCGGATGGCTATAGGAAAATAAGATTTAGGGATTTCTGGCAGCTACCCGAGGATCTAAGGAATTGGGCTGTCTGAAGTGGTGATTACATAAATCTCTGAAACGTTGTCAATAAGCATTACAACGGTTCAGGAAAGTATTGCGCTTAAAGGTTATGGATGATCGATTAATGGTGACGTTCAAGATCTATTGAATAGGTCACCCAGCTATCGATAATCAGCTGTTCTCAAGTCTAATGTCAAAAATTTTGACTTCGTTTACGTTTTGCAAATTTGAGAGGCAGTTGATATCCAGCTTGTATCCCTGGATGACCTTATTAATAGGCCTTGGTGACGATTAGAGAAATTTCGGGTTGCCACGTGTTCTATATGTCAGATTGTAGGTGAGAGACAAGGTAGATGGGAGTTCTATGATATGTCAAAAATATTTTGACATATCGTTAATAAGATTGTCATTTATAATTTTTATTATTTTGTTTTCAATTACAACAACATTTTTGACAGCTATTTGTTCCAGCATCTTTCTCATGCGGCTACCTTATTAAATCTGCCTTGATGAGAGTTTTTACTAGTTGCAATCTTCCTTAACTCTCCCAGCTGCAAAATACAGAATTTCCTCAATTTGAAAGCGAATTGAGGGAGAAAATTTAACAGTTGTGATATTGAGTATTTCCAAATTCATATTGGAAAAATGCTACTGGAAAAGTAACCGAACATATCTTATATGTCGACTTCTTTTCGTTATAACCGTTTTCGACCATGCCTTTGAATAAAACATTTTGCTAAATATTTATAAAATAAAATTTAAAAAATATTAATAAAAAAAAATATTTATTAAAAATATCATCACATTAAACGAACAAAAAAGTGAAAAACGAATTGGATCAATTATTTATTTGAATAGCAATCTCTATACTTCCATGTATCGAAAAAACCTTTCCACATCAATTAGTATTACAAAATAATGCTCTAATAAAATATCTTCTCAGCTTCAAAACCAAAAGAAAGATATATACGATTAATGCAGTTGAAATTAAATAAACCAATAATAAAAAATTATTTGCTTTAAAAATTTTGTATTGTAAGTAGGCATTATTATTAATAGCATTTTTATAATAAATTAAAAAAAAAACATTTTTGATATACATTTAAGATAATTGAATTACACAATTAAATATACATACATAATAATATTTATGAAAATATGCAATTTTTTATATAAGCAATAATAGTTACAATAACTCAACACACAACACAATTAATCAATAAAATTGAAAAAAAAAAATAATAAATTGTTAATGATTTTGTTTCATTTTTATAACATACAGAATGTGGTATTGGGGATTTAAAAAAATCTAGAATTGGCCAAATCGTTTCCCTTCAAAATGCCTAAAATCGATTGGGACGTTTCTGGGGAAATGTCATGTTTTTATTTCGATCGTTCCCACGCCACTCATTCCCGCACCTGCCGGCAGAGGGGGCCACTTCCTCATAACGAGAGGAGCACGTACACCCCATAGACCGGACTAAGGAGGGTTATGATGGTAGGAAACGGCTACAAATATTTTCAGCCGGCCATACATGTACTTACTACGAACAAGGACAAAACAACTACATACGAAGGATTGCATTTTATATTACATCTACTTCACATATAGCACGAAAGAGATCATTTAATTCATAATTAGATTTTGCTAAAGAAATTTTAAGTGGAATGTAGTTACGCGTGTTACGTGGAGACACATTTGATTTTATTTCACCAACTAAAAAACTCGAACCTATATTGCCTCTTAAAAGTTTAGTAATAAAAATTGCGCGGGGCATTAAACGTCTTCTCTCAAGAGCTGGGAGATCTGTAAGCTTCAATCTATTTTCAAAAGGCGGAAGAACTATATCTGTATTTTATGGTAAACCTCTAAGAGCAAAAAGAAGAAATTGTTTTTGAACGGATTTTAATTTGCCAGAATAACACTTGTAGAAAGGACTCCAAAGTACGCAACAATATTCCAAGGTAGGTCGAACCAGAGTGACAAAGAGATGTTTGGTCACATAGGGATCATCGAACTCTTTATACCAACATTTTATTAAGCCTACCAATGACTTTGCTTTATTAACACAAGCTTCAATATGTAAGTGGAAACGTAGTCTGTTATCTAGAATAACACCAAGATCGACAAAGGAGTCTAATGTGTACAATCCTATTGAGTAAATACAGGACACTCAATATTATCTAGAATAACACCAAGATCGACAAAGGAGTCGCCATTTTCTAATGTGTACGATCCTATTGAGTAATTACAGGACACGTGTGGTGTTCTAAAGAAAGATTGATAGAAAGATTTCTTGAGATTCCGAGACATGCCATTAATTTACTGACAGGCGAAAACTAAATTAATCCTAAATGCCGCCCAATTGATTGATATATGGATTCATGGGTCTAATCTGTCAAAAATATTGACAGGATATGGAAGGGATATTTTTTACCCAATAAGAATCTAAAATTTAAAATTACCGCCAATTTGTTTGAAAAGCGTATCCATATTGCTCAAGATTCCGAGATTTGTTAGATTTCGTTATAAGGGATATACCCCAAGAAGAATATTTTTGGTGAGATAATTTTCTACCCAATGAGAACTCTGAATAGGCAGTTCGGTTGAAAAATGTGGCCAATACCATACCGAATAAAGAAATTTATCCTGTATATGGGGTTATTATATCAAAACCCAGGCCGATATATCCCATTTTAGTACCAAATATCCTAGAGGTGGTCTGAATTGGATTAATAAAATGGGAAACATGTCATATGAATACAACTTCGCTGGAAAGCAATTCACGACTACGAATTGTTAATTAGGTTAAACAAATTCGAAATACAGGGTGAGATAAAAAAAACTGCAACAAAGTCAAACGCCATAATGTTATATATATATATATATTGGTCAGCTAAGTACTTCGCTTTGTTACAAGAGACATTTGGGTATGAAAGGTTTTTTGTATAGAAGCAATAGCTTCTGGGGAGAATATCCCAACAAAAAACTAGGGGAACTGATGAGGATCAGTGGCGTGATCCGAAACTATAGTCTTCCCTGCCTTACCCCTCGGCAAACAATGCCATACATTTCCCACTAATAAATAGTTGTTTTTTATAAAAACAACAAACTGGGATTCAGCCTGACTATTTTGCAAAAACAAAATACAAATGGTATCCCAAATAAACCGCCACCTTTGGCACGAATTATGGCCTTCAAACGGCCAATGAAACCGTCGCACGCTGCCCAAATGTTGTTCTGCGGTATTTTGGTCCATTCCCGGCGAGGCGCTTGCTTGAGGTGATCGACACTTTGGTATTTTTTAGTGCCAACCTTGCTTTCCAAAATACTCCAGACACAATAGTCCAACGCACAGTTGTCCCAATTCAAATTTTTTTGGCCAAAATTATTTAATACAACATAATGTATACTTTTCGTTTATAAATAGATTAATATTTATTATAATATAAGGTACAATATAGTACTATTTATTAGGTTTTTAGATATGCAAAGGCATACAAAATGTTAGGGTACAAAATGTGATGTTTTAGTACAAACATGAGTTGTAAAACAAAATAAAATGCGGTAAACATAATTCAAAATTTACTCTTTTTATAAAAGTATGACCTAAAACAGGCTTAAGAAGGTTGTTTTATACTATTAAGTAAAGAAAATAAAAGAACTCTATTAAGTTTTAAATTAATTAATTATTGAATATATGTAGATATTTCGTTTTCTAGAACTATATTTTCATCGCCATATTCTTCTTCGAATTCTTCATCTGTGGTTTCATCACAATCAGTATCATTCGCGGGCCGTAATTCATCGTTTAGTTCACAAACTAACAATTCGATTACTTCAGATGGCAGGTTTAACCGCTTTCTTTCTTGTAAGTGGGCGTTTAGGCGTATAGATGATATAAGTGGATCAGATGTATCCAATGCTCTATTAAATACGTCTGTGAGATTATTGACACGACTACTGTTCTAGCGTGTAATAATCTGTCATTTTTATATATTTTTTTCTGCATTCAGCAGCATCCTCTCCAAAACATCCAACTGGCAACACAACATTCTGCATTATTTGCTTAGAACAAATCAAGACCTTGTGCACTGTTGGTGTCATCACTACCCAAGGATAATGGCCCTGAATATATTTAGCTGTTTCGAAACAGTATTTTTTAAATTTTTCTAAATCAAGGGGAAATTGACATGTTAAACATACAAGAATTATATGCGACGTTTTTATACTAAAATTGATTACTAGGTTAATCAAATGTCCCAAAATATCAATTGAAATGTATTTTCGCGAAAATTAATTAAATAGTGAGGCGCCGTTGTGGGAGGTCTTAACCAAAATATTTGGTACAAACAGTTTATACTTTCCATGAAGTCAAAATGCAAAGTTAGAGCCGAATCGGTTAAATAATATCGCTAAAATCTTTAAAATATCTTAAATCGGACGGTACGGCTATGTCACAGTGTGGGCCAATTTTCAAAAAATGTTGCAGAAATGTTTTTTATACTATTAAAACCTTAAATATCAATTTTAAGAAAAATCGGATGAAACTTTGTCTTTATCCCACATTTTCAGTTCAATACTATATACAATAAAAACATCAATTTATAAAAAATTTCACTCAACTTAAAGTAGAAAAATACATTTTTTCTAAAAAAGGCAAAATATTTCATCTGAATATGATAGTACATACCCCTGCCAGCTTCCAAAAATTTTTTGGAGGAGACAATATTTTTACATTTTTTCTAAAGTTTAAGAAGATTTCAAAAATATTTGTAAAAAATAATTTTCAATATACACACAAACTTTTATCTCCCTACCCAGATATTACAACTTTCATCGTTCTTTCTTTATATATTATGAAAGCACTTATTATCAGCTTCCAGATTCATAATAACTTTGGTCTGAATTTCGTATACCCATTCGACCACACAGCACACCAAAAAGTATATATTTTACAGCACACAGTCTGTTCTATTTTTTATACAAAAAATTTTCAACTTTAGCATTACACCAACGAGCGGCTATTAATGGTATTTAAAAAAAAAATTTTTTAAGAAAAATCGGATGAAACTTTGTCTTTATCCCACATTTTCAGTTCAATACTATATACAATAAAAACATCAATTTATAAAAAATTTCACTCAACTTAAAGTAGAAAAATACATTTTTTTCTAAAAAAGGCAAAATATTTCATCTGAATATGATAGTACATACCCCTGCCAGCTTCCAAAAATTTTTTGGAGGAGACAATATTTTTACATTTTTTCTAAAGTTTAAAAAGATTTCAAAAATATTTGAAAAAAATAATTTTCAATATACACACAAACTTTTATCTCCCTACCCAGATATTACAAGTTTCATCGTTCTTTCTTTATATATTATGAAAGCACTTATTATCAGCTTTCAGATTCATAATAACTTTGGTCTGAATTTCGTATACCCATTCGACCACACAGCACACCAAAAAGTATATATTTTACAGCACACAGTCTGTTCTATTTTTTATACAAACAATTTTCAACTTTAGCATTACACCAACGAGCGGCTATTAATGGTATTAAAAAAAACCAATTATTTTCGGATGTTTTTGTTTTTGAAGTGTTTTTTTTTTTTCTATTATTCCTTTATATGATTTTAAGTACAAAATTTTAGATTTTTATTCCGACAAAAATTTTTTTTGACAAAAAAACATATGAAACTTCAAAAAAATAATTTTGGCCAAAAATTTTGTGATTGCGACAACTGTGCAACGGAATGGTATCCGGAGATTTTGGTGGCCATTGTGCGCTGGAAATGAAGCGAGGAACCTCATTTTGTAACCATTCTTGGGGTGGGGCGTGCTGAGTGCGCTGGTCATGAGTCCTGTTGGATTCCGGTCAGCAAAAAAAATATAAGGCTTTAAAACTTTCCAGAAAAATAATTTTGGCCAAAAATTTTGTGATGCCACGGTCGATTAATACGAGCGGAGAGCGACCATTGGCTGTTATGTCGGTCCACACCATTACCATAGCCGGTGTTTGAGTTCAGGTGGCCAACCGAAGGTGCACATTTTCAGCTGACCTCTTTGGCGAGTAAACACGATAATTGTGTTTGTTTTGCAAACTGCCAGACAATTAATGTTTTCTCATCGAAGAAAACCAAATTCGGAGGATGCAACAAATACGGAGAATGCCACAGTTCACCGGTCATGTCTCTGTGTCCGGCTACGAAATGAAAATTTTGGTAGTCTTTAATGGCGCCCAATCGATTTACACATCTATTCATGATTCTGTATTCTATATGGAAACTTCTCAAAAAGCACCCCGACAGTGGTATATCGACATAGAAAAAACGCATTTCTGTCTGGGATCAAAACAAACCCCAGTCCATGGGTCTGTTCAGTTTACTATAAACGCATGTACCGTAGGTTGATATCGGGGGATGCAAAAAAAAACGGAGAATGACACAGTTCGAAGGTCATGTGTCTGTGTCCGGCTACGAAATCGCAATTTTGTTAGTCTTAGATGGCGCCCAATCGATTTACACATAAATTCACGATTCTGTATTCTAAGTGAAAATTTATAAAAAAGCACCTTGACAGTTGTCTCTCGACATAGAAAAAAATCATTATTGTCTGGGATGAATACAAAATCCGGTCCATGGTTCTGTTCAGTTTATTATAACCGCATGCACCATAGGTTAGGGATACAAGGCATGCGGAGAATCCAACAGCTCACAGGGCATATATATCATGTCTCTGAGTCTGACGTCGATTAATTGAGGTCAGACCACGTACCAATTATTATATTTATCTACAGGCCACCTGATTTTTTAAAGAATTCAATTTCGGGTTCATCATCACACCTGCAGCCGCTAGCTGTATACATGAGTGTCGAGTACCAGAATTAAGACCAATGAGCTTCGTCTCACGAACTCTACTTATCACAAAAATAGGGATCTGACAGGTGAAGTCAATAGATTAGTCGGTGAGCGGCTAAAACAGCTGAAGTGTTTCTACATTACTGCAGGGTCGACGGTGGGCAACGGTAAAGTCGGTCTCGAACTCTGAAAGGTAAGAGGTTCCAGTGTATTTTCACCCGAATTTATAGATCATTCCGAGGGGTATTGCGCGATATACGATCTTTTTATGCCGCGATTACGATGGACTTTGGAAATAGAAAGTCAAGGAGGCGTGGAACGAAAGTCCACACTGGGGCAGCAGAATTTAGGATTGAACGATCTGTGGCCTTGTATGTCGTTACCAACGATTCTTTATCCTTGGTTGCGTTGCTGTGCCAATCTGGAGGACCTGGATGGATAGTTTGGTCTCATTAGAGGAATTCTGCCTGCGGGAATGAAGCGGTTTGTCGGTTTTAAAATAGTTTCACGGAATATCTTCTTACTCTTTCTAGCATAGGGCTTAATGAGACCTCAATGCATTTTGTGAAGCCGTGCCAGTTAGCTTTATTATAATTCATGAAAGTACGCTGATCGGGCTGCAGGAAATCGCTGGGTTTCTCTACCGTGACCAGGGATGGACTGACTATGGAAATGTCCGAAGAGCTTGAACACCTGACAGTGACTCTGGTAGAAGATTCCTCATTGATGGAAGCAAAATCAGACTCATCTATCTGTTTTACAATAAGAATACCGCGAGAATCATTTGGTAGTTGGGAAAACCATATCTCATGATTAGCATTGAAATCGTCAGGAACAATTTTATTAGCTCCCCTGGATGGAAGATGGATGATCCTTGGATGATAACTAGCCCCAATGTTGTTGACAGGCGGAATACATATATTGACAATTTCAGATTTGTCGGAATAAACTGAAATGCTCAAAACTTTCAGGAAAGGATTAGACTGGGAAGGAGGCGTAGGGAATGTCACGGTATATCTGACATCTCGCTGGATGGTGAATGCCAGACTACCACCATGGTCTCCATATCGCTACATGATGTTGTAATTCCCCCAGGAGGATAAGGAATAACTGCTGGTCAACTTCGTTTCTTGCAAGGCAGCAATGATGTTGATTTCATGCATGAAGTTTGTGATCTCAATTGCCCTATTCCTAAGACTATTACAATTAAATTGCAAGATTAGGAATGAGGTATTTGGTTAACTCCCCTGCAAGGACCGCTGCTGTAGATGCTCTTGGGGAGGCAGGCGGATGGAATTATTCGGCGAACTGAAAACCTGCCTGTAATGCTGTTGTCTGGATGGGAAGTCTTGAGAATTTGATGTTGGAATTGAATGGCTAGAAGGAGTGATAGTCGGAACACTAGAATGAATTCTACTTGACGAATGCTAGACGGAGTGCTAGCCGTAGACGAAGTGCTAGCGATTAGAATAACTAACTTGACTTCCAGCATGAACACTAGTAGTAGTACTACCGGATGGAGAAGTAGACGGAGTGCTGGTCATAGTACTTGAATCACTAGTCTGACTACCAGCATTGGAAGTGATAGAAGTGCTAGCAGCAGAACTGGAGGAAGAGCTAGTAGAATAACTAGCTATGCAACTAGCACTCACACTAGTAACAGTACTACCGGATGGAAAGATAGACGGAGTGTTAGCCGTAGTTCTGAACGGACTCAACTGGATTCTAGCGGATATTGCTGGATTACTAATGAAGCAATCGGCTACAAAGCCGGTATTCCAATTAATGTGTGAACGCAGGGTGGTACATCTTCTCCCAGTTACTGCAACCCATGCACCTTACAAATGTTACGAATGGTTCCACTTTGAGTTCTGGGCAGGTGTCTCAGGGTTGTTGGAGATAAGATGCTGGATGTTGTAGGCTGCAGCCAACAGCTGGCAATGAAGTTGTGCGGCCAGTCGCGGTGTGAGGTGAGACCTAAGCACCTATTTAGGTGACATCACTTATTGCATCGAACTAAGGTGGAATTAGCAGCGATGCGTAAATGATTTGCTCATTTGTAGAAGAAACTTTCGTTTGGTATAGCTGTCGCTGAGTTGACAATCCTTGGCTGAGTCGTTCCGGAGCGTAGATCCGATTGTCGTGGGAACGAGGTGTCTATTTATATATTACAGCTAGACCCATCTAATGAAATCTATTCTTTCATTTCATATCCACTTCAATTATTCCAGATTTCCTTTTGTTTTTATTTTTTTCATTAAACATGTTTCATCTTTATTATTGATTGCATAGCCACATATGTTATTTTGTTTGTTTTGTTTAAAATTTAAGTACATTTAATGAATTTTGGTATTATTATTACATGTGTTTTGTCTTGTAGTTGTTTGTTTCTTGGTTTCTTTTTAATATATATATTTAATTTGTAATTTAAGTAAATGTAGGCTTAGATAAAAACATTGTACAAATAAAAAGGGCTAATAATGGTAAGGAAGCAATTCTTTTTTAAAAAAGTTATATTTTTATAGTCAAAAAGTTTTCACTGAAATATATATTTAGCATTTTAAAAAATTACCCAAAAAAATAAATGGAGAAGAAAAAAAAACAATAAAAATCAAAAGAAGAAAAAAGTGGTGGGGCATATTTTGTTTCTTTCATTTGTTGAATATATAGGTATATATGCTTTTAAAATAATTGCGTTAAACTAAAAGGAGAAAGGTGCTAAGTGCTAATGTACATTAATAATAGATTCACGGCCCTTGCCAACACCGACCCATCGTATCGGTACACCCAGTTCACTCTCAATAAAGCGTACGTATTTTTGTGCGTTTTCGGGTAATTCCTTGAAGTCGCGGATATTTTCCGTACTCGTCTTCCAGCCGGGCAGAACGGCATATTCGACCTCAATGGTGCCCAATTCGGCAATGGTGCCAGGGAAATGATCCAGCTTTTCACCATTCGAACGTTTGTACCTGGATGTATGGATAGATAGATGAGAAGGAGAAAGGAAATTAGAACCATGATTTGTTGTTGGGAGTGTGTGTGCGGTGGAAAACTTACGCGACAGCAACTTTGATTTCATCTAAAGTATCTAGGATATCAAGTTTTGTAAGGCAGATGCAGGTATAGCCATTAACTAATGAGGTATATTTCAGTAGAGGCAAATCCAACCAACCGCAACGACGTTTTCTCTTGGTGGTAACACCAATTTCAAAGCCGCGAGTTTGCAACAGCTCACCAATTTCCTGTAACCACAAAACAAAACAATAAGGAAATTAGCATTGCATTTTAAATTATTGGGAGAATTATTTAGCTTACATTCAATTGCTCGGTGGGGAAGGGACCATCACCAACACGTGTCGTATAGGCTTTGACAACACCAATAACTTCACCAATTGTTTGTGGTGGCAGGCCAAGACCAGTCAACACACCACCAATACTACAATTACTGCTGGTCACATAGGGATATGTGCCAAAATCAATATCCAACATTGCAGCATTGGCGCCTTCAACCAAAATGGTCTTACCCTGACGCAAGGCAGTGTGCAAAAAGCAAATTGTATCCTTGACATATGGGCGAATCTTTTCCGCATATTCTTTGTAGCGTGCCAATTCAGCATCAACATCGACGTTGATGGAGGGGAACAGGCGAACGTGAGTGGCCACAATGGTCTTGAATCTGTATAACAAGAAAAAATAGCAATTAATTTTTTTATTTAAAAAACAATTTCCTGTCCCACTTACTTATCACTGAAGAGATTGAAATCGCCCAGCAATTCACCAACACGTATACCATTACGTGTAGCCTTGCTGGAGTAGGCTGGACCAATACCCTTTTTGGTGGTACCCAACGATTTGCCACCCTTTTCAGCTTCTTGCATACCGTCGACGGCCTGATGGAAATCGAACACTAAATGAGCACGATCGGAAATGATCAAACGATGTTCGATCTTTTGTAGGCCCTTAGCTTCATTTTTGCTCAATTCCTCGAAGAGTGAGGGTAAGTGAATGACAACACCATTACCTGTAATTAGAAGGAGGAGGAGGGAATAAAATGGGTTAGTTTTTTATTTAAAAAATAAATGGAGAAACAAATCAACAAAAAAGGGAGTAGAGAATCCAAAAAAGTCTTAATAGGGAAACGCAATGGACTATTTATAGACAAGCTGGAGGGAGTATTTATAGATAAGCTATAGGGAGTATTTATAGACTAGAGAAATAGGGTCTTTATAGAACAGCTAGAGGACATTTTATAGGGAGAAGTATTTATAGACAAGCTACAGGGAGTATTCATAGGCAAGCTACAGGGAGTATTTATAGACGGGGGAAACAGAGTCTTTATAGAACAGCTAGAGGACATTTTTTAGGAAAGCTGGAAGGACTCTTTATAGCCATGCTAGAAGGAGTATTAATGAACGAACTGGAGGGAATCTCTATAGACGATTTAGAGGGAGTCTAAAAACGAATTGAAGGGAGGAAATTTTTATAGCCGAGCTGAAGACAGGAAATCCTAATAGCTGAACGAGCATATGGGAGTCTGTATAGACGAGCTGAAGGGAGTCCTTATAGACGAGCGAAAGGGAGTCTTTATAGGCGATCGAAAAGGAGTCTTTATGGACGAGCGTCTTCACATAGACTAAATTGTTAAGTCATTGTCATGGCAAGGAGACTAGGTTAGGGATGTACGGTTGTTTAGTAACAACCGTTCACTCGGAGACTATTGTCCATTGTGATCATACTTGATAACTGAAAAGAAAAGGGGGAAAGAAGAGAGAGTGGGAGAGAGGAGAAAATAGTAGAAGAAAGGAAAGCCTAGAGATGGTTACTTTAGCCATGCCAGATTTTTGACAAAGCCTATTGGAGAAGATTGGACTCTATTTTTGGAGAAGAAAGCTAGATTATTAATTTAATATCTTTCAAAGTGTTTGAGTATTTTGCCACTCAGCGATGGACAACTACAGAGGATATGTTCAATTGTTTCTAGCTCTTCTTCGTCCTCATATAGACGACAGTAATCCTCTCCTCTGGAGTCCCATTTCGAAGTGAGAGATCTAATCTTGCAGTGACCTATTATGCTCCCCACAATAATTTTGATCTCTCTCTTATTATGTGACAACAGCGAAGAAGTTCTTCGGCGAGAGAATTCAGGGCAGATAGCTTTTCAGATTCTCGTCAAAAAATTACAACCTGGTGTTATGTTGAGGACACTAGCGTTTTGACTAATGTTGATTTCTTAAATTCTCCATGATCGGAATCCTTTTATATTTCCAACAGTATTAGACTCTAAGTATAATACCGAGCAGTACAAACAAAATTGTATCATCCAAACAAACTACACTTTAACACTGCAAAAGAAAAAAATTCTTCTTACGGCATATCCAGAACATTCCAGCATACAACTGGACATTTATGGGGATTCTTAATATTTAGACAAGTGTTTTGTTTTTAATTGTTTGTTCTTGAAAATAAATATTTTTTTTTCTATTGAGGGATTTTCAAAACTTTAATTGGAAGGGTGCAATTTTCAAAAATCATTTTCCTAACTAAAATTTTATCGTTAGTAACGAAAATAACTTTTTAATATTTTTATTCTAATTTGTAATATAAAAGCTTATGTGGTGATGGTATTTATTATGCATATTCCCTGTCATCTACCAATCAAAGTCATATTCGCTTCTTGTTTATTGTCGTCATTCATTCATGAATTTGCGTTGAACGTCTTAAATTATCCAATAAATTGTGTTTTTTGGATGTGAGAGATAACAATAAACGACGACATCATGACCACGTACATACATTCTTACCAAGCATGCATGCAAGGAACCATGAAATTATTGTTACTTCATGATTATCTGTCTATGATATTGTTATTGTTTTTTTGTGTGTCTGTCAGATTCGTAATTCGTACTTGCCAAAAAATCAAACACAAAACCAAAAACACTGAAATGAAAATCTTCTAAAGACAAAAGCCTTTCACTCTTCCCTTGACATTCACCGAATGCAAAATAAAAATAAATTATTTTATACATACGACGATATATAAACATTTCAACTACATATATACACAAGTGTATATATATTTAGTAAAACAACAACATTAGACAATGTTTCACAGCAATTTCTCCTTGGCTGCCATGATTTTCCCTCTCGATGAGATGATGCTGTGATGTTTTCACTTTTTTTTTTGTTTTATAAATTTAAATCTAATTTTCATTTTACGAGTATATTATTTATCTTGTCGATGCTCTTATTGTTGTTGTTGGTTCTATGTGTACCTCCCCCATATCATGGTCCGTGGTATACCTAGTATATACAACAAAAAGCTAATAACAAAAAAAAAAAAAAAAACGTTTTTGTTTTCTGTGTGTAATCACATGACTTCGAAATGACGAACACAAGACAAAAAATCAAATAAGAACAAGCATTAAGAACATTTCATTGAACGGAACGTGCTAAATATTGTTTTTGTTTTCTTCTACAGGGGGGCCAAATCTTAAAAGATTTTGAAAATTTGCATTGTTTTTGTATATGCTGTTGTTTCTTGTCCGGTAGTAGTGGGATGCTAAATAGTGATTCTGGCAAGGAAATGAATATTGGATAAAATGTATTTTATAAAGGTAAATAATGTAGAAGACGTTAAGTCTCTTTAAACAGGTAACGATTTGAAATCTTTCAAATTTAAAGCACCAATAAAAACATCTAGTTGCAGAAAATAGTTATTGATGGGGAACAGTTTTTTTTCACTTGGAAAGAAAACCCAACAAAAATATATTGGGTAATTGGAAATTAAATAAACAGTCGACGGGCAACGGATACCATAACTGAGTAGCAGTCTTTATAAACGAACCGAAGGCAGTCTTTATAGACGAGCTGGAGGGAATCGGTAAAGACGAGCTAGAGGAAGTGTTTATACACTAGCTGAAGGAAGGGATCCTAACAGACGAGTGAGTCATTGTATACTAGAGTTAAGTACAATGAGTCTTTATTAGTTGGAGAAGAAACGCATAATATTGTACTGATGGAGCCTGGATTCTTTATAAAATAAATTGGAAGGTTACTAATTTTTGTTTTCCCTACGGAGAACAGAGGTGAATGGTATCGGATTCTTTTGCAGATTGTTAGTAAATCTAGACTGAGAGCGATTAGATTCCATATGCCCTAAATTTAAATATGAAAGTGTCTAAATCACGATCCGTACCATCCATCAATGTACTACGAATTTGAAGACATGATATCGAATCTAACCTTCCAGAAAAGAAACTGGGGTAAATGGAAATGAAATAAACAGTCGAGGGCAACGGATACAAAAGCCGTGTAGCACTGAATTCATGATCGAATAGGCGAGAATTGACTAATCAAAGCTGAGTTAGCCAATTCTCGGACAAATGGACTCCACTCAGATTACATACAGTTGGTGTCTTTATAGATGAGTTCAAGGGAGTTTTCATGGATGAGCAGAATGGAATGTTTCCTAAATGGAAAGAGGAATTTTTTATAAACGGCGTAAACGGCGTATATGCCAGCGTAAAGGAGTCTTATATACGAGCGGAAGCAGGAAGTATTTTTATGGCCTTCACCACATTGTGGTATCTTTGAGCATATGTTTGTAACAGGCAAAAGGAAACGTGAGAATATGCATACAATCACTTTCTGAGTCGATTTATGCATGTCGGTCCGTCCGTCTGTCCATGTTATAATGTAAACAAAGTACTGGTCGCATTCATGTTCCGAATGAGATGAAATTTGGCGTAGCTCACTTATTGGTTCAAGGAAGAACGCTATGGAAATTGGAAAAAATCGGTTCATATTTGGATATAGCTGCCATATATATTTTCGTCCGCTTTTGTATAAATGGTGCATCAAAACTCTGAAGGTTAGTCCGATTGCGACAAAATTTTACATAATGTACTGAAGTACAGAATTACGTACGCGAAGTTTTATTGAAATCGATTCAGATTTAGATATAGCTCCCATATATATTTTCGTCCGATTTTATATAAATGGTGCACTTAGGCCAATAAATTTCTTTCAAATTGCATGAAATTTGGCACAGAGTATTGAATTTAGTCTAGAATGATGTGTGCTAAGTTTCGTGAAAATTGGTTCAGATTTAGATATAGCTCCCATATATATTTTCGTCCGATTTCATATAAATGGTGCACAAAAGTCCCTATATATTTTTCGATTTGCACGAAATTTGGCATAACGTACTGAATTGAGTCTATAATGATATGTGCTAAGTCGCGTGAAAATCGGTTCATATTTAGATATATCGTCCGATTTACTGGTATAAACGTTGTTTTTTTAAGGTTCTCTTGACCTACCTATGGGGGTCTAAGCTAAAAACTGATTTATTCAAGAACATGATTTATTCTTTATTCTACATTTTTTGAAAACACATACTTCTATTCTGCTTAGATCCAAGAGTACTGGATATAGATTCCATGTGATCTTCCTTCTATCCTAATTAGATGAACATTTTCTCAAAAACGATACCATGCAAAAGTATTACACAAACATATGATTTTTTCAAATTTGTAACACTTGTATAACGAAATGATATAACGTTTGCTTGATAGGTATGTGTGTGTGGTGACGTATGTATATCATAAAACTGAAATGTATCTTACTTATCATACTCGTTCGCATTTTGTATCATAAAAAACTGCTAGCAAACTGTCGTGTATATATACGACAATGAATGTAAAAAATCCCCATTATAATCATTTTTGATACCCATAAGCCTTCCGTAGCAGAAAAATTAAAGTGGAACACGAAGTAATCTAATAGGATAACTAAAACCGGTAAGGAAAGTAGTAAAGTCTGACTATATGAAACCCTTCACCACTTTGGGTATATTCTACATAGTCTCCTAACAGACGTCGACTTTTCAAAAGAACATTGTCATGAAATTAAACGAAAGACATATAAGAACTTTGGTGCACCATTTATATTAAATCGAACGAAATTATCTATGGGAGATATATCTAAATCTGAACCGATTTTTCTCAATTTCAATAGGGTTCGTCCTTGGGCCAAATAAATGAGCTGTGCCAAATTTCATCCAAATCGGATGATAAATACGACCTGTATTTTGTTTACAATTTAACATCAACATACGGACGGACACGCATAAATCGACTCAGGAAGTGATTCTATGCATATTCTCAAAAGAAACCATCTTGTTACCTTTTGCCTGTTACAAACATATGCACGAAGACATAATACCCTGTACCACAGTGTGGTAAAATTATTACATTGATGAAACGACAGCACATTTTAGCTCGTCTATAAAGACTCAGTGTTTCAGCTCGTCTATAAAGACTCGCTGCTTCAACTCGTCTATAAAGACTCCCTGCTTCAGCTCGTCTATAAAGACTCCCTGCTTCAGCTCGTCTATAAAGACTCCCTGCTTCAGCTCTTCTATAAAGACTCCCTGCTTCAGCTCGTCTATAAAGACTCCCTGCTTCAGCTCGTCTATAAAGACTCCCTGCTTCAGCTCGTCTATAAAGATTCCCTGCTTCAGCTCGTCTATAAAGACTCCCTGCTTCAGCTCGTCTATAATGACTCCCTGCTTCAGCTCGTCTACAAAAACTCCCTGCTTCAGCTCGTCTATAAAGACTACCTGCTTCAGCTCGTCTATAAAGACTCCCTGCTTCAGCTCGTCTATAAAGACTCCCTGCTTCAGCTCGTCTATAAAGACTCCCTGCTTCAGCTCGTCTATAAAGACTCCCTGCTTCAGCTCGTCTATAAAGACTCCCTGCTTCAGCTCGTCTATAAAGACTCCCTGCTTCAGCTCGTCTACAAAGACTCCCTGCTTCAGCTCGTCTACAAAGACTCCCTGCTTCAGCTCGTCTACAAAGACTCCCTGCTTCAGCTCGTCTATAAAGACTCCCTGATTCAGCTCGTCTATAAAGACTCCCTGCTTCAGCTCGTCTATAAAGACTCCCAGCTTCAGCTCGTCTATAAAGACTCCCTGCTTCAACTCGTCTATAAAGACTCCCTGCTTCAGCTCGACTATAAAGACTCACTGCTTCAGCTTGTCTATAAAGACTCCCTGCTTCAGCTCGTCTATAAAGACTCCCTGCTTCAGCTCGTCTATAAAGACTCCCTGCTTCAGCTCGTCTATAAAGACTCCCTGCTTCAGCTCGTCTATAAAGACTCCCTGCTTCAGCTCGTCTATAAAGACTCCCTGCTTCAGCTCGTCTATAAAGACTCCCTGCTTCAGCTCGTCTATAAAGACTCACTGCTTCAGCTCGTCTATAAAGACTCCCTGCTTCAGCTCGTCTATAAAAAACTCCCCTTCAGCTCGTCTATAAGTACTTCCTTCAGCTTGCCTATAAGGACTCATCTATAGACTCCCTTCAGCTCGTCTATGAATACTACCTTTGCCTTATTAATAAACAACAGTTCAACGATATCTATACGATGATTGTTATCTAAAGAAGTTTGTTGTACCATTCCGTGAATGATGATTGCCTAATTTGTTAACGACCATATCATGATGATTGTTACCGCCTGTCATTAAATATACTTTTAATATGAATTACTTTTAAATTGTTTCATATAACGAACGACTAAACGACGCACAACGTAATACAGTGTCAGTGTCAAACTCCACGAAACGAAAACAAATTGCTATGGTTTGAAATATATATCAAATAAAATTAGTCTTGTGACAAAAAAATATGATAACAATGAGTATTTTGCACAAGGGCGCGGGGTGGGGAATAACAAACAAACAACTAATATGCATACTGTGAAAGTACAAGAAAGAAAATGGCTTAAATGCCAATATACATGAAAATAAACAACAAAATTATCAAATCGATTAAAAAACCAACGAATCAGTCAACCAATGGACTGACAGACAAATGCCTTTTTTTTTGTTTATATTCAATTAAAAGTTATTACAGCAGAGTAAAATTGTAACGCATTTATAATTTTTGTTATGTCGAAGTGTGTGTGTGTGGGGGAGGTGGGTTCCGCAAAAAAACACACACAAATAGTTGTATAAATAATATAAACTATTATAATAAATAAATAAAATGGAAATTTTATCTTCAATTTAATGTGAAGGATATATTAATCAGAAAATAAATAAATAATGAAATAGGGGAAGAAGGGGGGAAATCAGTTTTGTTTTTTAATTCTAAACCTCGTTGTATAAATTAGTTTTGTTTTTTGTTACAAAACCCCAAGTAATAATGACTAATACTGTTATTCTATAGGCCATAAGTAGAAGATAATATTTGCCGTGCCACCACCACACAATCACATACTCTACTAATTGAAAATGTACATATTTTGCAATGCGTCACTCTCAGATAATAATTTTTATTGTAGTGACGATGGGGCCTTGAGATGATGGGCCAGAGATTACATAAAATGAATGAATACGAAAAAAACCAAACCAAAACTATATAGTTCAGTTGAGTCTTATCAAATAATAATAAAACAAAAAACAAAAACAACATGGCGTTAAGGTACGCGGTAGTTGAAATTTGCGAGAAGTAAAGGAATTTTTGAAAACTATCTATCTATCAAATGTTTTAAGTGTTTCCTTGTTTTGGTTCGTCTTTAAAGACTGCCTTCCGTTCGTCTATAAAGACTCCCTTCAGCTCTTCTATGAAGACTCCATTCAGTTCGTCTATAAAGATTTCATGTTTCGGTTCGTCTTTAAAGACTACCTTCAGCTCGTCTATAAAGATTCCATGTTTCGGTTCGTCTTTAAAGACTGCCTTCAGCTCATCTATAAAGACTCCCTTCAGCTCGTTTATAAAAACTACCTCCCTCGAGCCTAAACGTCTCAGCTCAATTTCAAGCCCTTTATGCAGTTCGTCTGTCAATTTCCTTTCAAATGAAACTATCAGTGTGCAAATCAGCTAATAAAATGTTATCGAAAAAACCAGTAAGGAAAGTAGTAAAGTCGGACTGAACCGACAATATGATACCCTTCACCACTTTGTAGACTATGTAGAATATAGTCTCCTAACAGACGTAGCCCTTTCGAAAAAAAAACATTGACATGAAATTAAACGTTGCATGTTGCACAATTTACCTTAAATCGGACGAAAATATATATGGGAGCTATATCTAAATCTGAACCGATTTTCACGCAACTTAACAAACATCATTGTAGACTTAATATAGTGTGCTATGCCAAATTTCAAACAAATCGAAAGATATATAGGGATTTAGGCGCACTATTTATCTTAAATCGGACGAAAATATATACGATAGCTATATCAAAACCTGAACCGATTTTCACGAAACTTAACGCACATCATTTTAGACCTAATTCAGTACACAATTCCAAATTTCGTGCAAATCGGAAGATATATAGGGACAATGGTGGACCATTTACCTTAAATCGGACGAAATTATATATTGGAGCTATATCTAAATATGAACCGATTTTCACGAAACTTAGAATACATCATTATAGACTTAATTCAGTACGCTATACCAAATTTCGTGCACATCGAAAGGTATATAGGGACTTTGGTGGACCATTTAACATAAATCGGACGAAATTATATATGGGAGTTATATCTAAATCTGAACCGATTTTCACGAAACTTAGAACACATCATTATAGACTTAATTCAGTACGCTATAACAAATTTCGTGCAAATCGAAAGATATTTAAGGACTTCGGTGCATCGTACGAAAATATATGTGAGACATATATCTAAATTTGAACCGATTTTTCGCAATTTCAATAGAATCAGCTCAGAAAGTGATTCTATACATGTTCTCAAAAGGAACCATGTGTCCATATCGTTTCCTTTTGCCTGTTACAAACATATGCACAAAGACATAATACCCTGTACCACAGTGTGATGAAGGGTATAATAATCGGAGTTGAATATTAGCTGGAAATGAACCCACTCACGTTTATTTTTCTAGATTAGTTAATATTCTCACTATAGAGAGTAGTGGTTTATTGGATTTGCGTGCTAAAATATATTTTGCAAACGATTTTCAACGCAACGAACAACAAGTTTCTTTTTTCGGGTTATCTAATCAGTTTGAAAAAATCTTGATGTGATAAAAATGACACAGATAATAAAAAAACAGAACAGGGAGTCCAGTTACCTTGGAATAGTTTACAGCACGAACAAAAAATTAACAACAACTACAAGAATAATATACATATTTGCCTATATATGTTTGTATTGTGAAATAAACTTACCGATTACTGAAATACATTTTTCATTGACAATGCCACTGGGCAAGAGATGGAAATCAAATTCGGTGCCATTTGCAACGACAGTGTGACCAGCATTATTGCCACCCTGAAAATGAAAAAAAATAAATAGGATAGGATAGGGGATTAAAATTTAATACAAAAAAGTTATGTATATTAAATATATAAACAAAATAGTCAATGAAGGTTAAAATAAATATTAGATTTTGCATACCAATAATAAAATAGTCAAAACCCTGATGGGAACAAATGAGTAGGAATTTATTAACTTCCTCATAAGATTATATTTTCGACTTCATGATGTACCAGCATATAGTTAAATATATTAATAAATAAATATTATTAAAATATATAAAATATATTACATATAATATTATTATAATTTTTTATTATTATAAATTTAAGAAATAATACTTTTTTTTTTTTGAAAATTAAATATAATGCACCCAAGTCAACTAAATGAAAAGTAAACAAAGGGGTATTTACTATATGTATGTATGTTGTTATGTTTTTTTGGCAAATATTCAAAATAAAATATAAATAAACATTGTTGTATACAATAAAATCCGCCACTTGTTTCATATTTCATGCAAAACAAAAAATCCAACAATTTAAGAAATAAATAAAACATATAGTTATATATATATATATATATATATATTTTAGAAAAATGTTCAATGATTATAAAAAAATAAATAAATAATAGGAGAAGTATTTCGGAAAAAAATATTACCCAACGCGAAAGAAATTTCGCCAATAAATTATAGAAGTTTTTTGCCAAGTTTTTTTTTTTTATTTTGACTTTGACATTCCAAATAAAACAAATATTGTCATATGATTGTTATAACATAATGATGCAAACAAAAAGAACAGCTACGTCAACTGGACGAACCCCCCATGTACGAGATTTAATATTGGCATTTCAGGCAATGATAAAAACTATTCTTTTATTTTGCATAAATTCGAACTAAAACTTATTTAGAAAAGTTTCTTATATTTTTTAGCATAACTTCATTTACCTAAAGCTTACGGTAATGCATTATATTTTAAAAAAATCCACTCATATTGAAAAAATAACCCCAGGCTTATTGGCGTAGCTTGAAAAATTATTTAAAAAACCAGGATTATTGGCACTGCTCTAAAAATGTTTTTTAATATTAGAGTTTGGGAAAAAAAAACAAATTTTAAAAATCCACGCAAATCGGTTGTGATTAGAAAAAAAAATAAAACTAAGGAACGGATAAGAAGCTAACAAGAATTATTGAGAGGAAGGTGGGAATACAACAATTTATATATAGACATTTATATATAGAAATTTATATATAGAAATTGGACAGAAAACATATTACGTGATAAGGTTGCACTTTCCCAACCACTTTCGGTTTCTAATGATGCTGTAGATTAAAGCAGGTTCCAGAGTTCAAAAGAAGCTTAGAGACCTTGGAAAATAAGCACCCAGTGAGAAGCTCAATTGTCTCCGTCTCCTCCTCGTCAGCACAGAGTCTGCAGTAATCAGTAACATCATGGTCCCATTTACTGGTAAAGAGACCCTGATATTGCCATGACCAGTAATGACTCCTGTCATTACTCTAATTTCAGCTTTGCTCAGGTTGAACAGTGAGTTTGTTCTCTTGGTTGACAGAGTCGGCCAGATAGATCTTGACATATTGCACATAGGTTCATCGTGCCAGAGTTTATTGGCTCGATCGTCGAAGAACGCCTCAAAGTTCCAAAAAACAGATGAAAGATAAGTGGCAATCGATTGCTAGATCTGTAGATTGAGATCCTCGTCTAGCTAATTCGTCTGCTTTTTCATTGTCCATGATGTCACGTTGTCTTGGTACCCAACACAGCCGATAGCTGTGAGTGTTTCCAAAACTACTCTACACTCGAGGACGAACTCAGGATTGATTGTACAGGATTTAATGGCTTTAAGAGCCGCCATACTATCCAGACTATCTGGATCCAGACATTTCTTCAATTCCACTGCCTACCAAATAACGAAAATTTCATCTTGGAAAACACTCAAGGACTAGCCTTTCACAGTAGACGCCCGCCCTTGTACCTTCCTCCATCTTGGATCCGTCTGTATAAAAAGCCAAATCGTCAAGAGGAGGGATGCTACGGTTCCAGTCGTCTCTGTTAGGGATAACGACATCTATATCGTCAAATCTCAGGACTGGTTTTACGCGTTGGTCCAATGTCATACCTTGTTCGTTCAGGATAACACCGTTCCTCGGCGTTCCTATTCCATCGTAATTGACAGTCCAGGATTGTATAAGCTCCGAGATTGTTGACGGAAATTTTCCGGAAAACAATATCACACGTCGTTTGATACCTTTCCCGTCCAGTTCCATCAGTATGTTATTGATTGCCAATAGCCATAGCAACGGTGAGAGCACCCCGCCTTGAGGAGTACCTCTTGTTACTGTTTTCCTGATTTTGGTATCCCCTACAGTTGAATTTATAATTCTGTTATTTAGCATTATATCTAACCAACAAGTAAGGGTTCAGGAATGCTAACGTTTTTGAGTGGTTTACGGACTCAAGTTTAACGTTGTTGAAAGCTCCTTCTATATCTAGGAAAGCGGACACCTTGATATAAGCAACTGTCCATATTTACCTGCACTTCGCGCAGTTCTCTCAATGTTAATTGACCTGGAACCAGTACTTGAAATTGTAAATACAATCCACGTATGGTTAAAATGGACTCTGCCTTTGAGAGACTTATTAAAGGCCAGTACTATAATAAGAGCATACGATATTATTTGTAAATCCTGTGAACAATTCTCATGTATAAAAGTCATAAAAAACTTATACCATTAATTTCAGCATAAATTCAAGGGTTGAAAGGGGGATTTTGGTCAGAGATTATTATAATTTATAATATGGAAAAACAGTTTTTTTATTTTTATATAAAAAACAACAGCAAAACAAATAGCAAGTGTTTACCAAACAATGTATGTGTATGTGTGTGCGCCACCTTTAATGTTTGTTGTTGCTCGTTTTTTTTTTCTATTCTTCTGTGAAAGTAACACCGTATTTGAATATAACTTGTTTATTGTACGTAAGAGATTTGCCTAGATATATATAATCACAAATCGTCAACGCGTGTGTTTTGTCAGGTGCTACTACCAGATCTGAAACTAATTTCAAATTAGACAAATAATAACCAAATCAAGAAACGTGAGAATGTCATTCCACAAGAAAAAATATCCGTCGATATGGCAAATCCAATAAAGCAATGAGCATAAATTTTCATTCCAATCTAAAACCAGTAAGGAAGGGTCAAAAGTCCGACGGAGCCGACTATATGATACGTTTCACCACTTTGGCTACATACAAGAGATGATAATGTGTAAAATATCCTTTAGATTGGAATTAAATTGGGAGAAAAAAATTGTGATCTACATAGATATTTTAACCATTCTGAAATCTATAAAAATTGCATGAAAAATCGGGCATACTTGAATTTTTTGGTTTAACGTTTGTATGAAATCCAAAAAATTATGTATGGGAGCTATATATAAATCTGAACCGATTTCAATAAAACTTCACAGACATCAAGTTGGACTTAATTCAGTACGATGTGCAAAATATTTTTTCAATCGGACAAATATTGGTGCACCATTTTAATGAAATCGGTCGAAAATATATATGGAAGCTATATCTAAATCTGGGCCGATTCCAACAAAACTTCACAGATGTCAAACTGACCTAAATTGAGTACGCTGTGCAAAATTTTGTCTTAATCGGACAAACCTTGTTAGTTTGCTGCACCATTTACCTAAAATCGGACGAAACTATATATGGGAGCTATATCTAAATCTGGGCCCATTTCAACAAAACTTTACAGACATCAACCTGGACTTACTTCAGTAAGCTATGCAAAATTTTGCCCGAATAGGAAAAACCTTGGGAGTTTGGTACATCATTTTAATAAAATCGGACGCAAATATATATGGGAGCTATATCTAAATCTGGACCGAATTCAACAAAACCTCACAGATGTCAAACTGGCCTGAATTCAGTACGCTGTGCAAAATTTTGTCTTAATCGGACAAACCTTGTGAGTTTGGTGCACCATTTAAATAAAATCGTTCGAAAATATAGGGAGCAATATCTAAATCTGAAATGATTATCTCCGATTTCAATAGGGGTTGTCGTTGTACCAAAAAATGAGCTGGAGCAAATTTTATCCAAATCGGATTATAAATGGACAGACGGATGGAAATGAATAAATCGCCTCAAAAAGTGGTTCTATGCATATTCTCAAAAGGACCGATGTTTTTTAGTACCAATAAAAGGAGGCTATACCAAAAAATGGACCGATATATCCAATATTCAATACTAGGAACGCTTGCAAAGCTCTATACATTTTCATGATTTATAATTTTTCATGAATGGGAATCTAGCCTCAAGGCCAAGATCGGTTCCAAAAACCGCTATACTAAAAAACCACCACTGCCTAAATATTGCGAGCTCCATTGTAATGTTGAAGGGTATACAATAAGTTTCCTGGAAGAACGATCAATAAATACATGTATGTGTATATGCAGGTTTGTATGGGGAACAACTATTTGAAACATTCGCAACAAGGTCATTATACAGTCGTCGATCTACAACAACATCAGAATGTTTTTTACTATCTCAAGATTTATTAACACCTCTGACAAACAAGATAACAGCCAACAAAGCGGAACGTTATTTTTCAAGCTTTGCCCCCGGTAAAAATTCAATTTACAAAATATTAATACAAAAAAATGACATAATAATTAACAAATAAAAAACAAATTAATACAAATTTCAATACTAGACAAAAAATACAACAACAACAATTTAAATGTAAATTTAAAAAAAAAAATAATAAAAACGATTCTAAACAGAAAACGTGATGAAATAGGAAGTGAACAATCAAGATGATGATGATGGTGATCAGCAATAGCAACAAAACAACGCAAAAACAATCATCGGCGACAACGACGATGACAATATCATAGTGTGGACAGACTGACTACCAACAAACGGAGCAAAGGAAAGCGAGGAAAGAAGGAAGGAAACGTGCCAGACCTTTGCACTGTACAACAAGAAATATAGACAAAAAAGGGGCATAAATATATTTGTACTGGAGGAGTATTTTCTTTTGTTATGTAAACCCCCATAGTTAGGCATACAGCAGCAGCAGATACCAGAAATATGTCGAAATGTAGAAAAATATACCAACAATTCAGACGCCTGCTTTGTTTGTTTGTTGGTTTGTGCAAGAGAAAAATGGCAAATGACAAGAAAATACAAAATGTATATATGTAACAGCCAGCAAACTGTTGTATGTCTGTGCTTCCCCCATTTGTATGGCCAGACCAGGCCAATAATAATAAAAAAAGAAACAAGCGGCGAAACACAATATGATACCACCATAAACACATGTGACCGACCAGCAACCAACCTGAAACAACACCAACAAACACTAAAAAGAGTTTAAATAACCAAGCGGAAATTCTGATGCAATAGGCCAAAACATCAGCTGCTTGGTCGCAAATCCTTAACCTGTTTTGCAGGTACATGCTAAGAAGCTATTCTTTCTTTCCTTTTCCCCTAGCAGAAGGCGGCTATGCTATACACATGATTTTCTTCGGCTGTGCCTCAGTTGATTTGTAGTTCCACCAAATGTTATTGTATCTTATTTTTTGACAGAGACACTACTGACAACGTCCTTGACCATAGAAAGCAAATCAAGGCAAGGCAACAAACACATGAGTGGGAGGATGACAAACACACACACAATAACTATGACGCCCTTAAAAAATCTAAATTTTTCTTCTTAAATTATTAATTTCTTTTTAAATATCTACATATGTAGATATGTTTGTTATATGTACCTGGCATCTGCAGACGATATCAACATCCAGGGCCAACATATCCACAACTTTGCCTTTGCCCTCATCACCCCATTGGGCACCCAGTACAACATCCACTTTGGATTTGTACATATTAAGGCGTCTTTGATGCAATTCCTCGTAGTGATTGCCGTTCATAACACTATTTGCAGGTGTCGTCATAGTTCCGATGGATTCACACTTGTTGGAGTCCTCTTTCTTTTGTTTGTCTGGTCCACCACAACCACTTAAGAAATTTTGCAAAAATTCAAAATTTTCAAAGAAATTTTTAGCACACAGAAAAAATTTTTGTATTATAAAATGCGCGTTCGTTCGAGCGGTTTGGATTTAACCGACCGTCACCAGACCAGAGACCGTCTCCACACGCTCGTCACAAAAACTGTAAAGAATTGAAATTCGGTCAGCCAAGCGAATGACAGGAGCCAAAGCACATTTTATTTTTCTTTTTTTATTGTAGGAAATAGAACAAAACGAAAGGAAATAAATGTCAACAAATGGGAGTGAAGAAGAACACTGAGTGCTACTCACTTGGGATTGATAGCAGAAGATATGGATATTGTGCGAGGCGACTATACAAATTCGACCAATTCAATTATTTTTCTAGTAAATATTTATAAAATCGATCGAAACTTTTGATTTAAAATATAAAAATATCCCTTTTCAAAAGTGCCTTAATTCGCCAAAATGCCAATGTTTTGTTAGAAATGTACGGTTGTTAATAACAACCGTTCACTCAGAGTCAATTTTCCATTGTGATGGAGTTGGAGAGCCTAGAAGATGGTTATTTTAGCCATGCCAGATATTTGACAAAGCTTAGGATCTGATCGGGGTCTATTTTGGAGAAGAAAGCTAGATTATAAATTTCATATCTTTCAAACTATTTGTGTCTTCTGCCACTCAGCGATGGTCAACTTTCAATACCCTACTGCTTTTACACATTGGACTAACGTTGGCCACCACCGACGTTATTCGGGGTACCGTTATATGGGTGGTACCACAAATAGCGGACAAATTGATTGATAACTTTTGGTAATGAGAATCTAAAATATCAAATGATAACCAATTCGGATGTAAAACGTGCCCAAAATACCGAATATGTTATGGTACAGTGATATGGTGCTGTACCGAAACGTGGATCACGTACATCTCGATATATCCATTGTAGATCCAATTAAATATATTTATTATAGATCTTTTAACGTATAGCCCTCATATAACGGGGACATTTATTAAAAACGCTTCTATAAAGGTCCCTGATTGACATAGGGCTGATATAAGGATCCTGACACATTTGAAGTTCTAACCGAATTTAGCATTCTGAGTTCTCGTAGGATGATAAACAGCAGTTTTTCCTATGTAGGTTTTTGTTTTCACATAACCTCTAATATAAAGATCGATCAGTCCGATTTTCAGTATTTCGTATTACGTGTTCATGATGGGTGAATAACATCTTAGCAAAAAAAAATTTCCGTAGTGTTTGGCGGGTTATTTGGGATACCATTTGTATTTTGTTTTTGCAAAATAGTCAGGCTTAATCCCAGTTTGTTGTTTTTATAAAAAAAAACAACTATTTATTAGTGGGGAATGTATGGCATTGTCCGCCGAGGGGTAAGGCAGGGAAGACAATAGTTTCGGATCTCGCCACTGATCCTCATCAGTTCCCTTAGTTTTTTGTTGGGATATTCTCCCCAGAAGCTATTAATAGCTTCTTTACAAAAAACCTTTCAAACCCAAATGTCTCTTGTGAAAATTCGAAGTTCTTACGTTACCAGCGATACGACCCCAATGAGAAGTTCGTTTCGTTGGCGCCTGACTTCGTGGTCAACAAGGCATTTACAGACAACTACAATACATTTCCCACTGCTATGTGTCGTCACTTTGTGACGAATGCACATAACGTTGTTGTTGGTATTGCTACTTAAGCAATAAACCAAACAGTATGACCGTGCCTCGTCTACAACTTCAGTAGTGTTTGGCGGGTTATTTGGGATACCATTTGTATTTTGTTTTTGCAAAATAGTCAGGCTTAATCCCAGTTTGTTGTTTTTATAAAAAACAACTTTTTATTAGTGGGGAATGTATGGCATTGTCCGCCGAGGGGTAAGGCAGGGATGACAATAGTTTCGGATCTCGCCACTGATCCTCATCAGAAATTTCCTATAGGTCTATTTCAATTGTTTTCTTGCGTAAGATATGCGCATTCAAAGTTTCGCAGGGAACCTTATATTTTTTCCGTTCTTTTTAAATATATGCCAATTTATAGTCCTGATTACAAAAATTTAATTATCTTAACGAAAATGTCTATACTTCTTTAGATTTGGGCCCCCGAAGTTCGGCCGTTGTAATTAGGCAACTACGACTGTTTACAGTAAGAATATTAAAATGATCCGCTACAAAATCCACAGCCACACTTTTCACTATTCGAACTGCTGAATTGAAGCTCACGCTGAATATAATGGTCGATGAAAAGCAAATTCCGACCACAAACTACCCCACAAAAATTAAGTGTAACGTTCAACAACTTTTACAAGTTGGGCGCTCAAGCCACTGCTAATTACGATAAGCTGTGAAGTAAGAACCAATTCATCATGTCACTGAGCGGCAGGACTTGGTGTCCTGTCAACCTGTCGGAATGCCGCTCTGAGAACTGAAACAAGTATTATCTTCATGAAAAGACGAAGATCATACCTGTTCATTGGCACAATCAAATGTAATCGGTGCAGAACATTTTGGACAAGATTCCCCGCCCAGGCATGTTGGGAGAGATCTTCATTTTGTAGGAAGAGAGATCCACATAACATAATATTTTTTTTCCAATTTCTACAAACGACAATTATTGGTACGTTCCCGTACTGCAAGAATCTACTATTTTTTACTCCGATAACACTTTTTTCCTTTATGATATCGAAGAAAATAGTAAAATCGAGTAGATTCTTGCAGTACGGGAACAGACCATATATTAAAATTTATATTTTTTCGTCCGACAAAACACACTTTCCAATCGATTCAAATTTTAATACAATCTCTTTGCGAAATATCACAAGATGTGATCTAGGTTGCAAATTATAATTTGGATATCAGCTGTTTTTGTATTTTGCCTTTACATATTCGTAAACATTCGTCTCGTTTTCATTCACACTACAACCTTTATAATGAGACCTAGTTCTGTGGTTCACTTTTGTGAATAGTGCCATTGTTTAATTAAAATTTCTAAATAAAATGTCCGAAAATGAGTGCCAAATGTAAGTAAAAATATAAAAAAAATTCCCAGCTAAGGAGCTTACAAGGTGGCGAGGTATGCCAATTGCAGCAAAACCATTACGAATTATTGTTTTCATGAATACACTTGTGCGGTCAAATCGTATCCTGTTGAAGCAAAATTATTCGCAAACAAACGGCTATATAATACAGAGATCTATTTTCTAAACCATCTTCGAACTTCAATCAAAATGAGGCTTAAATGCACTTTACGGACACCTCTCAATATCATTTTGAAATTTTTATCATAGGTAGCCCTTCTGATGCTGATTACAGCAATCAGAACGGGGGGAAATCAGTACTTCCCGAGATATGGGGTTCCAAAGTTCAAAAAATACCCCCACTTTTTATTAAACATATTTAAGAATACCACTCCGAAACGTTTAGTTTTTTTTACAACACATAGTCCTTTTGGAGCTGATTACAACCACATAATTTTTTTTGGGGGGAACTTCGTACTTCCGGAAATATGGAGTTCCAAAATTTAAAAAAAAAGCTTATATTGTTATTTGTTTGATTTAAGGATTTTTTCCTTTAGGGACACTTGGATTGTTCTGGATCAGCAGAGGTATGCATAATTTACCTGATTACATAAATATGTTACTATATGGGAGGAAGTCCATACTTTTTGAGAAATTGGGTTTGGAAAAAATAGGCTGGGGCCGGGGATTTAGTAATGAAACTTACTAAATATGCTTTTAATTTTATTCAATCATGTATAACTTTTAAAAAAGAAATAGAAATTAAAAGAGAATTCCGCTCGCGTAGCTCAATTTTCGATCTGCCTATAGTAGAAAGTATTAAATCCCCGGCCGAAGGTCGGCTATTTATAAAACAATTGAAATTAAAAGAGAATTCTGCTCGCGTAGCCCAATTTTCCACCTGTCCATAGGAGAAAGTCTTAAATCCCCGGCCGAAGGCCGGCTGTTTAGAAAAAATTTAAATTAAAAGAGAATTCTGCTCGCGTGTCCAATTTTCCACCTGTCCATAGGAGAAAGTCTTAAGTCCACGGCCGAAGGCCTGCTATTTAGAAAAAATTAAAATTAAAAGAGAATTCTGCTCGCGTAGCCCAATTTTCCACCTGTCCATAGGAGAAAGTCTTAAATCCCCGGCAGAAGGCAGGCTATTTGGAAAAAATTTGAAATTAAAAGAGAATTCTGCTCGCGTAGCCCAATTTTCCACCTGTCCATAGGAGAAAGGCTTAAATCCCCGGCCGAAGGCCGGCTATTTAGAAAAAAATTGAAATTAAAAGAGAATTCTGCTCGCGTAGCCCAATTTTCCACCTGTCCACAGGAGAAAGTCTTAAATCACCGGCCGAAGGCCGGCTTTTCAGAAAAAAATGAAATTTAACTCAATTTGTTGTCGGATAATAAGTAAGGGTAAAAGATGTAGGTTTTTATTACATTTTGATACCCCATATTTCCGGAAGTACGAAGTTCTCCCAAAAAAATTATGTGGTTGTAATCAGGTCCAAAAGGACTATGTGTTGTAAGAAATTTAAACGTTTCGGAGTGGTATTCTTAAATATATTTAATAAAAAGGGGTATTTTTTGAACTTTGGAACCCCATATCTCGGGAAGTACTGATTTCCCCCCGAAAAAATTTATGTTGCTGTAATCAGCATCAGAAGGGCTACCTATGATAAAAATTTCAAAATGATCTGAGAGGTGTCCGTAAAGTGCATTTGTTCCCAAAATGATAAACTGCAGTTCCATAATTTGACGAATAGCACGTTTATTTCCAGTTCACCAGAGGACAGGAAAAACACATTACATTCGGTAATATCAACTAGTCCTTAAATCTGGGCTGATAGTATCCATGAAAAAAAAAAACTGAGTTTTGTCCAAAAAAGGGAGTAAGTTGGGGTAGGTCTCGTCAGCATGATCACGAAAATATATGACGTTCATGGGGGAAGTCCACACTTCCTGAGGTGTGAACCTATAAGTTCGGAAATTCGTTTGCTCATAAATTCGTAATTTATGGAAAATTTTCAGAAAAAGTCGAGTTGAGCACCTAAACTCAAATTAAGCCATTTAAATAATCTTATAGTTGGATCAATGGAACTTTTTCTTGTTCCTGGATTTAACCCACTATTTCATTACATCTAATTTATCATCTATAATTTCAGCTGTAACAAACAGAAATTCAAATATACCTGTCCACGGTGTAATATTGCATATTGCTCCGTCGATTGCTATAAATCCCAAGCGCACTTAAAATGTTCCGAGGAGTTCTACAAACAATGCATACAAGATGAATTGTCGGCAAAAGCTGGGGATCCACAAAACAGCGATGATGTACGAAAAATGTATGACATCCTGAGAAGAATACGAGAATCTGATGCCGGCATACCAATTGAAGATTTCGATCAAGATTCACTAGATTCAGATGATGAGGAGGAAGGTGGTGGTGGACCGGATGAAGATGCCGAAGAAGATGGTGAATCGTTGCAACAGAGACAGGGATTTGAAGAATGTGATGAATTGGATATTGCTGAACGTCTTAAAGATGTTGATATCAATGATGCCGATGAAGTATGGGAACACTTGACGGCAGAAGAAAAGGAGGAATTTAAAAAATTACTAGCCACCGGTGATATAATGAAACTAGTACCCGATTTTAGACCATGGTGGTTAAAAGATGCGAAAAATTCCAAAATTGTTGATATTTCTAATAAGAAAGAAGAACCATCACATTGGACCATGCCAGCAATTTATGAAAATATCGCAAAATTTTCAACGATATGCAGTAAAGAACCGGCTCCATGTTTGCACTACAATTTGTGGAATATTTTGACAGCATATGCATGTACGGCCCGCTATTTTCATGGAGAACATTTAACAAATCCAAATGAGGCCGCCGCATTTCTCGTAAATTTAAGTTCCAGCCTTAAATATGGTACTAATTTTGAAGAGGTAGAAGACGCAATTGTTTCTGTCGAAATGGAAGCATTAACCACTGGAAATGGTGCCGCCCAACTACTACCGACCGGATCACCTCAATCGTTACTGGTAGAAAGTCGAGAACAGCTACAATCCGATGCCAAGCAATTGATGTCAACACGTCACAATAAATTGGCTGCCTTAAGTGATATTTTGAAAATATTCCAGCTGACAAAGAATATTTTGAAGAAAGCAAAGAAGGAACATGCCGAATTTCAAAAATTATTTGCCTTAAGCAGTGGCATGGAAGAGTTGACACGTACAAAAGTTCAACAAATTGTTAAAAAATTGGAATTTTATTTATCATATGTTAATCGAGATGCGGAAAATGATTTGAAATAAATTTTTGTAAAAATGTTAAATTTTTATGTTAATTATCATTGTTCTTGAAACATCATTATTTTACCTAAGATGCAAAAACTATAGCATATATTTAGGCGCCGCAATTTTAGTGGATTCTCGTTAGGAATTCGTCTATCAAGGCGTGATTTATTAAATTTTTTTTCAAGGACTATCATTGCGTGGATTTATTAAAAATATTTTTTTCAAGGACTATCATGGCGTGGATTTATTAAAAATATTTTTTTCAAGGACTATCATGGCGTGGATTTATTAAAAATATTTTTTTCAAGGACTATCATGGCGTGGATTTATTAAAAATATTTTTTTCAAGGACCCATCATACAAGGCGTGGATTTATTAAAAATATTTTTTTCAAGGACTATCATGGCGTGGATTTATTAAAAATATTTTTTCAAGGTGTGGATTTTTTAAAAATAGTTTTTCAAGGACTATCAAGACGTGATTTTTTTAAAAATAGTTTTTCAAGCACTATCAAGACGTGATTTTTTTAAAAATAGTTTTTTAAGGCGTGGAGTTTTTAAAAATAATTTTTCAAGGACTATCAAGACGGGAATTTTTTCAAAATATTTTTTCAAGGCGTGGATTTTTAGATGAGCGAATTGCTATAATCCGTATAAAAGCGAAGTTCTTCTATATCAGTCTCGTTTGCGCTCATGTTCCGACCGAAGATAAAGATGAACAGACCAAAGACATACTTTACGAGCGCCTAGAAACAGGATACGACCGTTGCCCTGGCCATGACATTAAAATTCTGCTAGGAGATTTTAATGCAAAAATCGGAAGGGAAAATATCTTGGGCCCCACCGTCGGAAAATTCAGCCTTTATGAAGAAACATCTGACAACGTCATGAGGTTGATTGACTTTGCGGCAGCAAAAAACATGTCAGCAGCACCAGATTCAAGCATCTCGATATACACAAGGCCACTTGGATTTCTCCCGATCGAACAACGAGAAATCAAATCGATCATGTTGTGATAGACGGAAGACATTCATCCAGATTTTTATACGGTGCGATCTAATGTAACACGGAAATTTGACGTCGAAAAGCTGCAACAGATAGCAGAAGCCTACTCCGCTCAACTTACCCAATTGCTTGACGAAAGCACCCCTTGTCCCGATAAACTGCAGCAAAAGCAACACTTGGGTACCAAAGACTACCATCAAGAAATCCGTGGTACGATCAGGAGTGTCGTAATGCTACTGATATGAAAAACGCAGGGTACAGGGCTACCCTGCGGACAGTAGCAACACGTAGATGGAGAACTATCGGGAGAAAATGAGAGAGGAGAAACGTATTTTCAAAAAAAGAAGAAATAACAAGAATGAAGTCCGAAAATTCTTCCAACGGGTAAAACACCCGTTGGTGTTTTACCCGTTGGTGCCTCCACCAAAAGCTTTGGTGCAGGCACATCCTCCTGTGGAGATGAAGAAGGAAACCTGGTGACAGATACAGACAACGTGCTGAGGATCTGGAAGGAGCATTTTGAAAAACTTCTGGTATCAAATGGTAGCGTGAAAAGGATACCCCAGAACCAATAATAGATGACGGTATAGAGTGTATACCACCTAGCCAAGAAGAAGTCAGAATAGCAATCAATCGGCTGAAGAATAATAAAGCAGCAGGTGCCGATGGGTTACAAGCCGAACTATTCAAGGCTGGTGGCCAGATGCTGGTAAGAAGCATGCATCAGCTGATTAGTAGTACAATTTGGCTAGAAGAATGCATGCCCAATGATTGGAACCTCAGCATCCTGTGTCTCATGTACAAAAAAGGAGACCAGACGATATGTGCCAACTATAGACAAATAAGTCTCCTTCCTATCGCATATAAAGTGCTATCCAGCGTACTGTGTGAACGATTGAAGCCAATGGTCAATGACATTATTGGGCCATACAAATGCGGCTTCAGACATGGCAAATCCACCATTGGCCCGATTTTCACTCTGCGCCAAATCCTGGAAAACCCCCACGAAAAACACATCGACACATTCCACCTATTCGTCGACTATAAAGCCGCATTCGACAGTCCTATCCGTTCAGAGGTGTATAAAGCCATGTCTGCGTTTGGCATTCCTGCAAATTTAATACGGCTATGCTGGATAACTTTAACTGACACAAGATCAGCAGTTAAAATCGGAAAGGACCTCTCGGAGCCCTTTAATACCGAACGAGGATTCAGACAAGGTGACAGTTTGTCGTGTGACCTTTTCAACATCCTGCTGGAAAAGGTCATACGAGAGGCAAACGTGAACAGAAATGTACACCAAACAACACATGTTACTCGCCTACGCCTACGCCGATGACATCGACATAATGGGTCGAATACTGAGAGCGGTAACAGCCACCTTTGCACAAATTGAGAAGGAGTGGGTCTGCCAGTAAACGGCGAGAAGACCAAGCTGATGGCATCAACGCGAAAGACGTCCAGTAAATTCGGACCAACTGTGGAACCTAAGAACTACAGCTTCGAGGTAGTCAAACATTTTATATACTTTGGTACCGCCATAAACAAGACGAATGACATCAGTTTTGAAGGATAAGTGATGGCCAACAGATGCTACTATGGTCTGAGCAAACAACTCAAAAGCAAGGCCACCTCCCGCCAGACCAAACTCACACTCTACAAGACGCTGATACTACCCGTGCTGTTATATGGATCTAAAGCATCGGTACTTGAACAAGCAAGCAGATGAGGCAGCTCTTGGAGTGTTTGAGGAAAAATTATTCGAAAGATCTATGGCCGATCTGCGTTGACGGTGAATATCGCCGTCTAATGAACCATGAGTTGTACCAGCTATTCTCGGACATCGACATTGTTAGACGTATTGAGCTGCAGCGACTACGTTGGCTAAGTCATATTGTGAGAATGGATGAAAATGCCCCAGCCCAGAAGGCATATAAAAGCGAACCAGCTGATGGTTCACGCAGAAGGGGAAGATCACGAATTAGATGGAAAGACCAAGTGGAAGACAACATTGCCGAATATGGTCTTTCAATTTCATTGGAAAAACTGCGCAAAAGACCGATGCGCCTGGAAATCTTTTTCAAGCTCGGCTTATGGAACGAAAGTTCTGTCACAAGCCAGCTAAGTAAGTAATCGGATTTTTACAAAACAGTTTTTAGTTTATTTATTTCTAATAAATTAATTTATTTTTTTAAACAATACAATATTTTTAAAATAAATATATTAATTTTTTGTAAGCAATACAATAAAACAACATGGACTTAAATGTTTACAATTACTTTTCACTTAGACGTCCTTTGGTGGCACGTTTTTGGAGTTTTCTTTTTTCCACTTCCGATGTCATAGGGTACACAAAATAAGGATCATAATGGATCAATAATCTTACAATTCATAATCTTACAAAAATCATTGACAGGAACAGCCAATGTAGCTGCTATATAACAAGAATAGGCCGGGTTGCCTGTGGCTGTCTTGCTACCTCCATGGGCAGCATCCACAGGGAATTTTGAGTTATGTGAGTATACTTATCCAACATATCATGTGACTGGTTATCGAGCAATCAGTTTGTGTCCAGTACTGTTCTATTGCCTGAGCCTGTTAGGTCTATTGGTTTACATGCAATCTTTCTCTAGTGAACATGAAGGCCTCCCCTAACGTGCCTGGGCGGGGTGTTTGTCCATACGGCTATAGCAGTGGTGTTCCCGACGATACCATCCAAGCTGGCACTGTGTCGACAACATTTGGTTGAATCGGTGAACGGGTATGATCTTAGATTGCGCAGATGACTAGAAAATGCCGTTGTATGTTACATCCAATATCTTGAGGTAATTCGTGGTCGGAATATCGTCTTAAGGGAACCCCCCCCCTATTCACGATTTTAATTTTTCAAGATTTTCAATGGGCTGGTAAATAATACCAATGCTTGTTAAGGCTTGTAACTTTGCACATATATTTGAAGATTTAAAAAAGGAAGAAAAATAATTTACAAAATTTTGTTGTTGTTATTTTTTGTATTTAAAAAGAAGTCCTTATTTTTGATGGCGGGCATGATAACTCCTTGGAATCCGAAAATTCCAACGGTGTTAGAAAGAGTACAGGCCTGACTCTCGTATGACTTCGCTCTAAAATTAACAAAACGGCGGACCTTTGAAAAAATATTTTTGGAAAATCGCCGATTATTGGCCAAGAACCAAGTTAAAAAATAAGGAAGATCTTCACCGATTGGCTTTATCCTAGTTCATACGATAGCTAGCTCATTTATTTGGCCAAGGGCGAACCCTATTGAAATTGCGAAAAATCGGTTACAGATTTAGATATAGCTCCCATATATATTTTCGTCCGATTTATGGTAAATGGTGCGCCAATGTTCCTAAATATCTTTCGATTTGCACGAAATTTGGCATAGTGTATTGAATTGAGTCTAGAATGATGTGTGTTAAGTTTCGTGAATATCGGTTCAGATTTAGATATAGCTTCCATATACATTTTCACCCGATTTAAGGTAAATGGTGCGCCAAAGTCCCTATATATCTTTCGATTTGCACATAATTTGGCATAGTGTACTGAATTAGGCCTAGAACGACGTACTTAAAGTTTCGTGAAAATCGCTTCACATTTAGATATAACTCCCCTATATATTTTCGTCCGATTTAAGGTAAATGGTGCTCCAAAGTTCCTAAATATCGTGCAACATGCACGAAATTTGGCACAGCGTACTGAAGTGAGTCTATAATGATGTGTGCTAAGTTTCGTGAAAATCGGTTCTGATTTAGATATAGCTCCCATATATATTTCCGTCCGATTTAAGGTAAATGGTGCGCCATATTCCCTATATATCTTTCGATATGTATGATATTTGGCACAGCTATTGAATTAAGTCTGGAATGATGTATGTTAAGTTTCGTGAAAATCGGTTTAAATTTAGATGTAGCTCCCATATATATTTTCGTCCGATTTATGGTAAATGGTGCACCAAAGTTCCTAAATATCTTTTGATTTGCACGAAATTTAGCATAGGGTATTGAATTGAGTCTAGAATGATGTGTGTTAAGTTTCGTGATAATCGGTTCTGATTTAGATATAGCCCCCATTCATATTTCCGTCAGATTTAAGGTAAATGGTGCGCCAAAGTTCCTAAATATCTTTCGATATGCATAATATTTGGCACAGTTTGTTGAATTAAGTCTGGAATTAAGTTTCGTGAAAATCGGTTCATATTTAGATATAGCTTCCATATAAATTTTCATCCGATTTAGGGTAAATGGTGCGCCAATGTTCCTAAATATCTTTCAATTTGCACGAAATTTGGCATAGAGTATTCAATTGAGTCTGGAATGATGTGTGTTAAGTTTCGTGAAAATCGGTTCAGATTTAGATATAGCTCCCATATAAATTTTCACCCGATTTAAGGTAAATGGTGCGCCAAAGTCCCTATATATCTTTCGATATGCATGATATTTGGCACAGCTATTGAATTAAGTCTGGAATTATGTGTTAAGTTACGTGAAAATCGGTTCTGATTTAGATATAGCTCCCATATATATTTTTGTCGGATTTAATGTAAATGGTGAACCAAAGTCCCTATATATCTTTCGATTTACATGAAAATTTATTATAGTGCACTGAATTAAGTCTACAATGATGTGTGTTAAATTTCGGGAATATCGGTTCAGATTTAGATATAGCCCCCATATATATTTTCGTCCGATTTGACGGAAATGGTACGCCATAGTCCCTATATATCGTTCGATTTGCACGAAATTTTGCATAGCCTACTGAAATGCGCCTATAATGATGTGTACTATGTTATATATTTTTTTATTTAAGATATTTTTGCCCGATGGTGCACCAAAGTTCTTATATATCTTTTGTTTAATTTAATGTCAATGTTCTTTCGAAAAGGCGACGTCTGTTAGGAGATTGTGTAGAATATACCAAAAGTGGTGTATCATATAATAGTCGGCCCATGTCGACTATACTACTTTCCCTACTGGTTAGAATATGCATAGAATCACTTCTGAGTCGACAAACCAAGTACAGGTCGCATTTATGATCCGAATTGGATAACATTCGGCACAGGTCACTTATTGGGTCCAAGGACGAATCCTATATATATATATATTTTTTTTTTTTCGTCCGATTATATCTAAATGTTTTGGTTTAATATGGAATCAAACTAAATATTGTTTATTTTATTGCATTAATTTTATGTTAGGATGTATTATATGTGAACATATATAAAAAAGAATAAATGTTAATTCATTGCTTAACGGGCACTTATGGCATTTTTATTATTAAAATTTATTATATAAAACCAAGGGGATACCAACTTTCGATATTTTTAAAGTTTTAACCGAATTTCCCCAAGGAAGATGGCTTAATTTCGCAATATAAAGAACAACCCGCTACATTTTGATGGTTTTAGCCGCGTTTTACCAACGAATGTAAGTGAACAATTTTCCCATTTTTTTTAGGTCAGAGTTTCTAAATTCATGCAGAGGATCCGCTTAATTTTCGTTTTATTAAAGATCTTAAGCTAATGTTCTATTAATGCCTATAATATGGTATTTAATATTCTTACCATGGCAGAACTTTATTACGTTTTTAATCGTTTTAAAAAGTTAAGAGGGGCAGCATTATCGCCAATATGAATATCATATATTGCTAATAATACTAGATACTCCTCTCTCCACTACAGCTTTAAGATATCCGAATATACTCTTCTGTACATTTTATGGTTCCTTAGTTCCCAGTATGTAAAAAATAAACCTTCCGACAACTTTGACATTGAACAAAATTTATGACATGTTGTAAATGTCATTAGCTTTTGTCATAGCAAAATTAAACGCAGACCTACATAGGTTCATACATAGCTATGCAATAATGTGCAAATATGTAAAATAAAAAGAAATATTGAAAACTAGGTTATGTTGCACAAATGCTAATAAAATAATAATACAAAAAAGTTTTGTTGTTGTAAAGGTCTTGCCGTGATGAATTTTTGATGAATGTCCATAAATTGTTGGCGATGGCCAACAATGATTTGCAGAATTGACATTGCAAGTTTGAAAAAAATGGATGGACTTACATTCGACAAATATTTGCACGAGAACACAATGTGGAAAATTACAACAAAATGTATTAAAACAAAAATAGTTCCACTTTTTGGATTCCTTCCCAAAACTCTGAAATATATTTTTCTGAATGCTGTAATAATGTTAAATTTTAATTACAACTTAATTTGAAAATATTTATTTCTTTAATATGTTTCAATGCATTACAAACACATATACAAATTGGGTTATTGTGTTGACCGAACAGGGTCGCATAAAAGAAATAACATTGTAATCTACCTCTTGATATATTGCACCATGGTAATAATCAAAATAAATAATTTAATATTTATTTTTTTAAATAATTTCAAATCGTTCCAGTGAAAATCGGGAAAACTTTATTTATTTATCAATTGTAGGTCATGTAACAATGTTGTATTAGATTCTGATAAACATACACACAGGCCTCCTTAATATTTAAATGTTAAAGCGACATTAAATAGCAAAAATTCAGCTGCATTTTTCAATATCGTTTTCAAAACGTTGATGAATCTGTCATTGATTACTTGCAACTGTTTTGAAAAAAAAAATTAATTATAGAATTCATAATGAGCGTAGTTTTAAGTTATTATGGATTGACTAATCCATATTTTATTGTTGATTAGGGTGTACCGAGCAGCGATTAAAAAAACGAAAATATATATGGGAACTACATCTAAATCTGAACCGATTTTGACGAAATTTAACACACATCATTATTGACTTAATTCAGTACGTTATACCAAATTTCATGCAAATCGAAGGATATATAGGGACTTTGGTGCACCATTAACATAAAATCGGACGAACATATATATGGGAGCTATATCTAAATCTGAACCGATTTTCACGAAACTTAACACACATCATTCTAGACCCAATTCGGTAGGCTATGCCAAATTTCGTGCAAATCGAATGATATATATGGACTTTGGTGCACCATTTACCTTAAATCGGACGGAAATATATATGGGAACTATATCTAAATCTGAACCGATTTTCACGACATTTAACACACATCTTTCTAGACTTAATTGAGTGCGCTATGCCAAATTTCGTGCAAATCGAAAGATATATGGGGACTTTGGTGCCCCATTAAGATAAAATCGGACGAAAATATATATGGGAGCTGTATCTAAATTTGAATCGACTGATCTCATTCTAGACTGATTTCAGTTCGCTATGCCAAATTTCGTGCAAAACGAAAGATATATGGGGACTTTGGTGGACCATTTACATAAAATCGGACGAAAATATATATGGGAGCTATATCTAAATCAGAATCGATTTTAACGAAACTTAACACACAACATTCTACACCTAATTCAATACGCTGTGCGAAATTTCGTGCAAATCGAAGGATATATAGGGACTTTGGTGCACCATTTACATTAAATCGGACGAAAATATATATGGGAGATAGAGCGAAATCTGAACTGATTTTCACGAAACTTACCACACATCACTCTACATCTAATTCAATTCGCTGTGCGAAATTTCGTGCAAATCGAAAAATATATAGGGACTTTGACGCCCCATTTACCTTAAATCGGACGAAAATATATATGGGAGCTATATCTAAATCTGAACCGATTTTCATGAAACTTAACACACATCATTCTAGACTTAATTCAGTACGTTATGCCAAATTT